GATGGTGGTAATCTTCGACCAAGTCATCGTCTCCGTTTCGCCTTACTAGGAAGGTGACATTGTGTTAGACGGAGCAAAGCAGCGCATATCGAGGTGGTAGTCAACGGCGGTTAACTGGCGTCATTGGTTCACTCCTCACGAGAAAGCGACTCGCTTTTGGCCTCGACGGAGCGCGCTTGTTGGGACCGGAGAGATTTGAATCACGGCAGGATAGTAATTTCGAGCTACACAATGGCCGAGGTTCCAAGGCTGATGGTCGGGGTTACCACCGTAAGATTCGCCGTCGAGATTGTCGAGGTCGGCTAAAACTGCGATGGCCTTACGAAGAAGTAAATTCCGTGACGAGCGAATTAATAGCGCACACCATTACATTTCCTACTACATTGACGAGCCTCTGATGTCGAGAGAAAGCCGGAAATAGATAGGTATAGGCAGCAAAACTCAACTTCAGTATGATGAAAATGTAACATAGGGCGCGGAAGGTGACACCTTGGGTCTCATCTACTAGCGTCTGCAAAGGACTTTGCTGCCGCTTCCAACTGTGAAGTACGTTGTTTTGTGCGCATCGAGGACTTTTAGATGGTGCCAGACATCTTGATCACTTTGCGTTCTTCAGCTCGTGGTTGCATCTGGTTTTTTTGGATCAGTGCAAAAAACTGGAGCATGCAACAAGAACAACTTTTTGAACGTAGCATTGCCGTGGTGGCTTGTTTGTTGCATGGCCTCGACCAACCTCAGAAGGGCAATGAAGAAGTGTTCCTGGTTGGACATGCGAATGAGTGTGGTACAAGCTGCTGAAAAAGTCAACACAAACTTCAACGGGGAACCCCGCCTTCCTCAGAGAAAGGCCTCGCTTCAAGATGCCCAGGAGTACCAGGGCACGCATTGCGCCTTTTCCGATTCTCGGGAATATGGACATGGAATAGCCGAGCGAATCGTTTGGATATCCAGACCTCCAATGTGAGTATCTAGTGTATGTCGTGACCAGAAACACCAACGGCCGAGGTTGAGATGGATGGCACACCTTATAGGGCTGAGACCCGAAAGTCAGCATAATATGTAGCTAGGATCCGAGTACAGAAAGCACCATGGATCCGTCATACAAGGACTGGGTTCAAGGAGAACTTGTTAGATGGTTATTATGTATCACGCCTTGAAGAAGCACACAAGATCAACGTTCCTTGATGTTGAGGAAAAAATAAAGAGGCCTCCCACCTCAGTGTTCCGGAGGTTGGGTAGGCTGGTAGGGCGGATAAAAACAGTTATACGGGTATAAGATCGGCCGGTAATAGGTAGAGGGCAGGTGCCTATGCAATATGCTTGGTCAGCGAACCCTTAAAAGCCTTGGAAAGATTGTTCTTTTCTTGTGAAAAAACCGCATCATAACATGAGCCCTGTAAAACCTGCGACTGGCCGACTGCCATCTGCCTTACAGGGGCATATCGTGACGTTGGCGGGAAAGGCTGCGCCCCAAAAAGCCTAAAAAGGGGGTCCAAGCAAGCAAGCAAGCCAGCCAGCCCGGTAAGGCTGGACGTTGTGGTATCAAACTTGACTCCCGTCATTTCCACCTTTGACTCAAGACGGCCACTTGTCGGGATTCTTCATGCAAAGTGCCTCCAGTACCGACCTGCATACATACCTCTATCGTGTATGGATCTTGTCATAGGTATTTACACACCGGAAATAAGGACACACCATAACTGCGTGCTAGCAGGTACCGACGATCCCGAACACTCCGCTCTACGCCCGATAGTCGGTCGAGTCGGTGCACCGGCTACGGATATGGAGGAGGACGGTAGTCGGTACGGTAAAGCGTTGGTCAGCATGTTATCCACACAGGCAGAAAGGCTGTTGATTCCGCACAAAGATCGGCCGAAAGGGGGGCCACCAAGCGTCCACGACTCACTGAGGAGTGAGCGAGGCTTTGATGATTTGTGATATGTGGATTCCACTCGGCAAAGACCAGCCCTGCCAGCCTTCCTAGATCGGCCGGCTATGTCGGTGAACAACAAGCAAGCAGCTCTGAAACTGTTCGGGGACTGCTCATCAAATCACACTGTTCGCTTTCCATTTCTCCGGTGCTGGTATGCTGATCATCTTTAGCCCTATCCCATGTGACCGTGCACGATGAGACACAAAATGTGGATTATGAACCCATTTCATGTCTTGCGGCCGGCGAAGCGAGATGGATGGCGGTGGCAGAAGCGATCTTTGACAAAGATTTGGAGTTTGAGTTTGTCGTCGTCATCCGAGGAGGAAAATTTAACCGGGAAAGCTGGTCGGCCGCCTCCAGTTGCAAGTTGCAGAAGGTGATGCACGTTATTAAGCAGAAATTAACAGACGCAGCGGAGAGTTCCGTGTACAAAACGGTCAAGGCTGCCCGTTGAGATGGGTTACCGGTTTACCACTAAAGTACAAAAGCATTACACGTACAGTATGCATACTTTCAAGGAAAAAGAAAACCGTAAACGTACTGTCAACCGCCCAAGCGACAGCGCTTCATCGAGAAGAAGGATCGCTTAGGAAGATGATTGGATCAACGACAGCCCTAACAGCAATGATTCTTCCATCGATATTCACGACATTTCCTACTGTCGATCACTGAGGCTTAGAAACCATGGACGTGAAAAAGGGATCGGAATCTTTTCCGTTCCCCTAACAGATCCGATACACAAGATGATTGGCTTTACAGAACAGTACGGCCAACCGTAGACGTATCAGGGGTCAAGAGAACCACCCAGTAGGGCAAGCCGTACTTTGTACGTAAAATGTGTATTCCGTACAACGGGATGTAAGTAACACTGTCCGAGCCTTTCAGGGCGTGCGGGATCCGGGCCATTTATGGAACTAGCGAGTGCAAAGTGGAGCAGGTGCGAGCGAACCGAAAGAAAAAGGCGCGGAAAGGGAGTGCTTGGATGCCACGCTGGAAAAGCGCTAATAGATGGAAACCCTGTAATGTTGCGTTCGATACTCCTGTCCAGGGCTGAAAGCTGCAGACAGAGCCGGCTGGGGTTTGCACTTTGCGGAAGAATGCGTGGGAATGCCCGTGTCAAGGATGCGCAGATACACCTCTGCAGTCTGCATCTCCTTACCTTGCGTTTACGTGCGGGGGACTCATGATGATTCAGGTTCAGACACAGTTCTTGACACAAAGTCATCCCACACTCTTGCCGACTTGTTTTTGAGGTTCCGCTTTCTTACCACCTTCCCTTTTCCCCTCGCTTCGACCTTTTGTCCTGGCTAAGGTAAGGTATCATCATGCTTAACTGTCTGCCACCTCACGCACGACAAAGCTTGACCTTGAATCTTCGACAGGATCGATTACTTGTACGTACTTGGCGGTCTCCTCACCGTCCCAAGCAGTCGGGTAACGCGGCTTCCTGTAAGGTAACGGGCCATTGTACTTTTGGCTTTACCATGTCCACCGAGAGAATCCACACTTGTACTTGCCGATTCCGCTGTCTACTCCGTCAGCGAGTTATTACACGTAAATACCTGCCTTACCCTAGTGCATTCCGGATAATACTGCGCAATACGCTCAAGTATTCGACCCTTGGCTCCCCTGGCCCTAGCAGGCTACTACGGTCCCAGGGGCAAGGCCGACTGACCAACCAGAAGCAACTGCCAGCAACGGCGACTGGAACCGTCCCAAGAGGTATCCACAGCTTCTTCGTAATCCGACTCCTCTCTCTTTATGGCCTCTTCCACCAGAAACTCGTCTCCGCCAAATCTTTTTCTATGGGCTGAGCCCCCCCAATCCACTTGAATCCTCCCGTCGCCAGTCCTCCCGCTCCAGAGTTCAGTCATCCATCGCCTCAGCCAGACCACCGCTCTGTGTCTCCAGCTTGAGGTAAGGTGCAGTTGCTCACAGATTCAAGCGCGCATTACCTGTCAACTGTACCTCACGCATTCGGACTTGTCTGTTGCTTGCTGTTGTCTTGCCGCCGCCGCCAACCCTACAGTCCGTCTACCTCTACAGACATCACAAGCTCTACAACCTCAATCGTCGACCATTCAGGACCACGCAACCGCCAAACGAGGTACCTGTCGTGCTTGGCATTACGGATCCGACGACGACTGTCCCCAGGGACCACAACCTCGCCAACCACCCGGACCATAACCACCTACTATATATCACCCTGTTAGCTACACCCACCGGCCGTCTCTTCGAGGTGGAGTTGGTCTTTCTAGTCTGTTTTGTCATCCTTAATCCTCTCTTCCCCCCGAAGGCGATTCTTCCTGCAATCTACCGTACCTAGTGTACTTGTCGGGGAACCCAATCGCCCGCTACGCATCCGTTCAACACCAGCTGCATCGGCAACACCGATCCAATTCCAACGCCTCTTTCTTGGCCAACACTTGTCATTGTACCGCGCCTGTCTGGTCCAGGGCTGAGACTTTCGATTCGCGAAACGTCACATTTGTTTATACGGCTTGGTTTCCGCATTACAGCCGCATCTGCAGTTGCCTTGCTTTCTCGCCTGGCCTTAGCTCCGAGCTGGCTCGTATATAGTGGTGGCAACGACGCGGCTGTATCGCCCCGTCCTTCAGCTTCCCGGTTGCGGCATCAGCAGTTCCTGTGCATAGTTGCGCGATCGCAACGTATCCTCCGCCATTTGCCATGGCAGCACGGGCAGTACCAATGCAGACGCAGCCCCGTTATACCAGCGCCGCGAGGGATTTTGACGATGGGCCCCTTCCTTCTATATCAAGCCGCGATGGTGGCTTCCGGGACCACTTTGCGAGTCGTCCCTTTGGTATCCCATTGAACGATAATCTCTCACCTTCGACCGCTTCGAACCCTATGGCGATCCACGGCTCAGACGGGAACGGGATAAATGCGCCTCCTCCGCTACCTCCTCCTCGCCTTGCTCCCGTCGAGGGCCCCGTCGATCCGAATGTTCAGCACTACAGAGACTCCGAGTTCATGCGCAATGACGGTCCCAATAGCCTTGAGAGCGAATCATTCAAGTTTGAACGGCGAGCGTTTCCGAACAAGCGCGAAAGTTCCCATGATGAGGGCTATCAGAGTTTTGATAGTGTCAGGTACTGCGATCCCTTTGGTTCTCTATGATCGTCGCTTACCATTGCCTCGAAACTAACTTGTCTGTGACTTTCCTAGATCATCGCAGTTCCCGTCTTCCTTCGGCCTCCACGCCATGAAAGGGTTTCGTCCCAGTACCGAAGCGATCGATGAGACAATGTTGAGGAGGTTAAATAAGAGCGGAGGATTCAGCAACTCGTTGAATGACGCGCACAGCTCCCGTCCAAGCCACGCCAGTCTTCCCCAGCTTTCTCTCCCACATCGATCAAAGGCAGGCTTCTTCACATCGGGGTTTGCCTCGTCGCCCACTGCGGCATCTCCACTTCCCAGCCCGTTCTCTCAAACAAGCCAACCAAGTCCCGCTACTGTCGGGTTTCGTCCCAGTGATGGGTTTGACAAGAACGGTTTCAATCGTGCTCAGCCGCCGAGAGCCCGCAGGACGAAGAGCACGTTGATGATGGATGACGGTTTTCTGAATAATGAGGACGACGAGGACAATGACTTTGCAATGGAGGAGACGACACGCATGCGGACTCTGAAGATCGAAGATCCGTGGAGGGAAAGGCATAGGGAGAATGAAAGAGAAACGGAGAGCGGGTCTTGGCAGCGAGGAAACAAGACCGGACCATCCCACTATTCGCCATCGCAGTTGTATCATGCGGGGAGGGACGTAGGCGGAGAAAGAAGCTACTATCAATCGGGTCAGAAGCGTCCGGCCTCGCCCACGCCCATCGATAGATGTAGTGATACATCAGGCTTGAATAGGGGATCGCCTACCCCTAGGCTGACTGTCGTTTCACAAGGGTCTGTCTCTAGCTTGTCGGCTGCTAGTCGCAGCGGAAGTTATATTGGCAATCTGACTGCTAGCAGCATGACAAGTAACAGTTCGCTTGGCCGTCTGTCTCCGAATGGTGTATCTCCCGGTGGGGTGTCTCCGACGGACGGGATGGGTGGTGGGAGCCCGTATGCCACACCCATCAGCCTCACCGCTTCACCAAGATCGTCGATCAGCCGGGCAGGTGCGGCACAGTCGCCACACCCTAGGATATCGGGTGACTATACGCAAAGATCGGTTGAGCAGTCCAATAGGACGCTAGGGATTCCCAGGAAACTTGCCGAGATTCCTAAAAATGCTAGCAATATCGTGGCGGCTAAGCTTAAGGGCCCATACATGTGCGAATGCTGCCCGAAAAAGCCCAAGAAGTTCGACACCGAAGAGGACTTGAAGTAGGTCTTGCAATATTTTCCATCCTTCAACACGTGTCACTAACCTAGACACTTTCAACCAGGCTACACGAAGCAGAGAAACAGTACGGGTGCTCGTTTTGTGGGAACAGGTTCAAGAACAAGAACGAGGCGGAACGCCATCAAAACTCGCTGCACGTCCGTCGCCACAGCTGGTCATGCTCAGCGCTTCAGACTTACGATCGTGCATTCCACGATAGCAGCACGAGGCCGGGCGAGGCCGATACGTGTGGTTATTGTGGTGAAGAATTTGCCCGTACAGGACGCAATGCCGCCGGCATCTTTGCTAGCGAGCAAGATTGGGAGGACCGTATCCGGCATTTACAGGACGTGCACAAGTTCCGCGAGTGCAATGCCAGCAAGAAGTTCTTCCGGGCAGACCACTTCCGGCAACACCTCAAACACAGCCATGCCGGCACGAGTGGGAAGTGGACCAACATGCTGGAAAACGCTTGCATGATGGACGAAGGACCAGCGGTCCCTCGATGAAGCGGTCAGGCGGGAAGGCGCAATGCTTGATTTTGGATATAAGGAAGTGGGTCTTGTTATGTGGAGGGGTGGTGGTTGTGGTGATGTGACATGTTGGTCAGCTCAGATATCGACATCTAGAGCGGTATCGGTTCAAGATCATGCGGCACAATGGGCCGCGGAAGAAAGGACGTCATCTAATTGGAGCATTTACGATTTTGAGGATTTTGTCGGAGTTTGGGTGTGGAGTTTTCAGCTGTATGGTTGCGGCGTTGCGTGCGGGAACAGCTTTGAAAGCGCGGGCCAAAGTTGACACATCGTCTTTGGTGTCATCGTGGTCAGGAGCAGCCATAGATGTATTGGAATGGAAGAGTTGAAAGCGGCGGCTGAATAGCAGTCTGAGAGAATTGTGGTAGCCAAAAAAAGCGATTATGTCAAGAATCATTCGAGGAACAATGCACTCGGTCTGGAATGACTATGGACTCTGGAAATGCTCTTTCAGACGGTTGGGTACATTGTCTGCTTCTATTTGTTGTTGTGAGCGGAATGTGTGAGACGACTTGCATGTCTTTTCAGCCCTACAAGGAAGCGGGCGCCGTTAAATTACCCCACTGCCACAGCCCTACCAAAATGTCTGTGATCGATTTGAAATTGGGGGGTTGGTTGGTCGGTTGGTTCATTCGTGCAGGGCAGTCGCTTTTGTTTGTTCTTTGGGTAGGCCATGCTTCCAGCCGTCCGTCCTCTGACACCCAGGGTTTCTGTTTGTCACAATTGTGTCAACAATCCAAGGTATCCGCATGATGGTACTGTACAACTGCCTGGGCATGGAACGCCTGTATCGGACATTGAATGACCAAGGGTGGCAGTAAGTAAACAGTCGAACGGTATTGGATGCATGAAACGGTCATGGTGGTGAATGTTTACAGCTTTGTATCTTTCCGACATTTGTGACATGTGGCGGGTATCATAGTCTGGTGTAAGATACGTACTTTCCATACGTATTTCCGGAGACGAAAGTTACACAGAGCAATACGTACGGCTGGTGTACTTACGGTACATCGTTCCAAGACTTCATGTAACGGTACGTACTCCGTATCCGCGGTTACCCTTACCATTTTGGGCATCCCGCGGCGATGAGGGGCAACAAACAATGTTTTCGAAATTTACTGTTGCACGACAGATGATTGACGAGCAAACTCGTCGTCTTGCGATAGCTTCGGAAAGTTCACCTCTATATCCTTCAGCGTCGCCAGATCAAACCGATCCTCAAAGCGAGTCAATATCAAGTGCACTCCAAGGACACCGGTCGCAATGGCGCTACGACTAAACCGCATCAACGGGCGCGAAGATCTCTTCGTAGGAGGGTAAGTCGTCCACACATACACATCTCTGTCGGCCTCCCCGTCCATCCCTCCCGCCGCGCAAAAAGGTTACGATGCTTCTATTTTTTCTCAAGAAGTGGAATGAGAACTGACACAGCTTTTTCCGAAACAGCATCTTCAGCGTCAACCGCGCCCGACTAATCGAAGAAAGCAAGATCACGCATATCCTCTCCGTCATCAACAACACCCTCCCCGCCGACCCCGCGTTCCGCAACGTTCAACATCTCAGCATCGACATTGACGATGTGGAGGAGGCCGATATTCTCGTTCATTTCCCCAAGATGGTCCGCTTCATCGAGCGCGGACTGTACGGCGACGAAGTAGCTTCGATAACCCTCGGAGGGAATAATGCGCCCCCGACCACGAACGCGAGCGCAAAGATCGACGACGAAACAGCAGCGGACGCCGATGCTATAACCGCCGCGTCACCCACCACGACCACCACCGAAACATCACAACACCACCAAGAACACCAACAACAACAACAAAACCCCGGCGCAGTCCTAGTCCACTGCGCCATGGGCAAATCCCGCTCCGTCTCCGCCATCGTTGCCTACCTCCTCTGGAAACACCCGCACCGCTTCGGGCGATCCGACCCTTCCACGCCCGCGCGCCGCGCCGTCACGCAGGCCGTCAACTGGGTGCGGCAGACGCGTCCGATCGCCGAGCCCAATGACGGGTTTATGTCCCAATTAGAGCTGTGGTGGACCATGGGGTGCCCTACCGAAAGTGACGACGCGGTCGAGAACCACCCTGCCTACCAGAGGTGGCTGTACAAGCGCGAGGTGGAGGACGCGACGAGGATTGGAAGGGTGCCGGATTGGATTCGGTTTGAGGATGAGGAGGCTGCTAAGCTTGCCGAGAATAATAAGGAGGGGGCCGATGGGGGTGCGGTGCTAAGTCTAAGATGCAAAAAGTGTCGGCGCACACTGGCGACGAAGCCGTTTATTGTTCCCCACCAGGGCAAGGGGAATAGCGAAAAAAGGGACTGCGGCCATTACTTCGTCGAAGCGCTGTCGTGGATGCGCCCGACGCTGGAGCAGGGCGAGCTGGAGGGCAGACTAACGTGTCCGAACCAAAAGTGTCTGGCGTCCGTGGGGAGGTACACGTGGCAGGGGTTTAGGTGTAGCTGTGGCGACTGGATCGCGCCGGCGTTCTCGCTGCAGAAGAGCAAAGTGGACGAGGCGACGGCGGCGCCGCATCCGGGTGGTAGGGGGCCTGGTGGTGCGGACATGGCGGCGAGGATGGCGGCGTTGGGGATTAGGATGCCTCCTGGTGCTGGGGCGGCCGGAAGGGTACCCCTGGGTGGTCAGGGGCCGAAGGAGAACCTCTGAACCACGGTGGTTCAGTTCGGTCTAGAGGTCCATCCATGGCTATGCTATGCTATGCTATGCTATGCTGTGGTGATAATGCCATCCATCGATTCTGGCTTGCTGAACCGCGATCAGAGCAGATCTCTTTGGAGCCCTTTGGGGCAGAAGCAAGCCCAGGACCATTCAATCCCCCGTCCTTCCTGACGGCCGTTTATAGGAAGTATCCACCCATGGAACCTTTTGGTTTGCTGTTGTGGCCTCGCGGCTCATCCATCTTGGGACATTCCCTACCTACCTACGTTCAGAGGCAAACACCCCGGAATATATCCAAGTGCGGTCCGCAGCTGCAAGTCCCGTCTGTTGAGGGAATGGGGATATCACCCCGGACATCCAAGTGTGGGCCGTACGTAAACACTGCGTTATACCTGAATCAGCCTGGTGATTGTGCTGTCCCCTTAGACTAGCTCTCTATGCCTTGGGATTCCTCAGGCTCGTGGCCAGGGGTGTGGAACAAGACGGAGCCACCCGCCAAGTGATATTGAGGTTGGGGGGGAAGGTTGTTCGTTGAAAGAAGGTTCATGGCAGCAGGCGGCGAAGTTCAGCAGGAGCGTAAGATGCCACCTACTACTATAGTAGCTACCTTAGGTAGGCGCTTTGATGCTCAGTTTCAAGTGCCCTCTAGAGACATGTTCAAATTTGGTAATGGTTCCTCCTCCCTTGCTTAGGCTCGGATTGTTGAAGGCAGTCACACGACTTGGTGGTTTGGGAGGGGCTGTGGGTCGACAATCCTTCTAACACGGGAACTGTCCTCAGATAAAGGTGTCTGCTGGCTTTCTGCTTAGATATATAGTGTTTTGAAGCCAATGTTCGAACCAAAATATCCCTGGTCACGATACGATAGACGCATGGTGTCTGTTATTGGAGTTCAGGCTGAGTTTGGCAGGCAGGATCCTGAAGTGCAGACGACCATCAAGGTTCCCACCGCCCGCGGCCCTGAACTCGATGTTGAAGTGCTGAAGCTCCAGTAGCACCTTCCCCAGTAAACGCACTGTCCTCAGTGGGCTGAGTGCAACCGTGCACCACCCCGGCAGAACTCCATGCATTCCCGTCACTGTATTTTACTGTACGAACCCCTACCAGCGTCCCGGCAGGCTCCGTTTTCAGGGATTTAACCTTTCAGATCTGACGGGGGCCCCACTTACACGAGTACCTCTTTTGCTGCACGCCTGCTGCACCAACAACATTCCACAACAACATCCAGGACATCAACATCACAAAGCCAACACACAACACGCGCCTCTGTTGCCCAGCCAGTCAGGGTTATTCGAAATGGCTACCGACTTCTCGTCGGATGATTCCGACCATCAAGATCATCACTCTGACCAAGAGGAACACAAGTCTGACGCGAGCAATGACAGCGAGTCCGGGTCCGACTCCGGCTCTGATTCGGGATCTAACTCGGATGCCTCTTCGGACTCAGACGACTCCAGCGATGAGGTATCTTCTTCAGAAGTTTTGACACGTAACAGTAGGGGTATTCAGCTTCTGGCGTCGATGCTCGACCTCGAAGCAAGTGAGTCCCACTCAAGCGAGGATGAAGATGACGACGAGGAGCACGATGACGACGACCTTGCCGAACACATCCATGAATATCCGAACTCTCGCCAAGCCAGGCGCAACGATCATCAATCTTTCCCCAAGTTCGGCCTCTTGCCTTATGAACTTCGCCAGCGCATCTGGGAGATGTTCTGCCCCGATCTGACGGCAAAGTCACGCGTCTATGAGTTCCGCATCATCCCTCCCCCAGGAGACCAAGAAGAACTACCATGTGACATCTGGGAAAGCCATATTCTTGAGCAGCAAACTGCTCCCGTCCGTGTCATGTTGGCTGTTCATCAGGAAAGCCGTGAGCACGTGCTCAAAAAATTTCCCGATGTCCTCACTTTCCGCGATGGCCAAAGTAATATTCGTTGGAATTGCAAGAACGACGTCGTAGTTCTAGGCGGCAGAGCCTCTCCCCCCTTTCATCCAATACCAGGCTTTTCGGACCAGATCCGGAACTTGGCGCTCGATGTCGATCTTGCCCGCCACATCGATATCCGCTGGACCCCGGAGCGGCTTGAATATGAACAGGTGTTGCACAACTTATGCCCTCGGTTGAGGAGGGCGTTTTGCATTATTGACGATTCCGATTGTCCGGCGAGGTTTTTGCGCTGGTGCGCGAACACAGACGATTACCATTATTTTGTGCGGACCGAAGAGGAGGAGCCGGGCGTCGGAGAGGATGCTGAGTACATGTATTGCTGGCGCAAACCCTCCAAGACCCGCGAGTTCACTATCGACAACAGCATTCCCGGAACTCTAGGCGAACAAGTTTGGCGATCGCTGCTATGCACCCAAAATGGACTCGACGACACAGAAAACATATTTCAGCCCCTCATACGCTTTTCTTTCGAAACTGGCCTTCGGCGCTTTGAGAAGCTCGTCAAAGAACAAAACAATAACACCGACTGGAATTTCTCCGATAATGAGTCAGACGACGAGCATGATGATGAGGAGCCGGATGAATACGAAAGCTCAGGAATCGATGATTCGGAGATCAGCGAGGATGAGGACGGGGGGTCAGAAAGCGAAAATGATCTTGTCGTCGTGGCAGATGACAGCGACCAAGAGGAAGAAGATTCGAGCGATGAAGAAGGAGGACCAACCCATGCAGGACATTCAAATGATAGCCGTGATGGCCCGATCGAAATCCTTGACGACTCCGATGACGAGTCTGATTCTGCGAACAACACCCATCAACACCATCGCCTTGGTCCAAGCGGCGCTGCTCGCTTCTCCAGCATAGAGCCGTCGGATTCCTCGACGATGGATGAAGAGTCATCCTCACCACACCGAGCTGGACCCTCTCGCTCTGCCGGCTCTGGTAGGAAACGAGTCTTGGAGTCAGATTCGGAAGAGGAGGAGGAGCATGATGAACCGCCCAGGAAAGCAGCGCGTATTAGCAAAGAGAGTCGCCGCCGTGCCCGCGCTACTGTCGTACTTTCAGATGACGAGGACGAGGATGCGGAGGACAGAAACAACCAGATGGATTACGAGTCGAACGCAGACCAAAGAGAGAGCTCCACAGGAGGTGACAGTCCTGAACACCCCGTGGTCATCTCGGATGACGATGACGATGACGATGAAGAAGAAGAGGTGACGAGGCGGCGAATCAAGCGGAAAGCCATGCATCGATACAAAGTTGTGTCAGACGATGAGGAAGAGGAGGAGGAGGAGGCACCAGTGCCCAAGAAAATCAGATCTCGTCGGGGACTGCGGCCCCCAGCTTCCGACACAGATGATGACGATGACGAGGATGCAGAAAGCGAATCCTCCACGAGCGGTAGCGACGACTCCTCGGAAGCAGAAGACGATGACGAAGCCCCCGCCAGGCCTCTGACTCTCGCGGAGAAGCTGGAACTCCATCGTCGAAATAATACTATCCCGGACTCGGATGACGATGGCGACGACGATGACGATGGCGACGACGATGATGAGGAGGAAGGAGGGGATGTCAGCGGGGATGATTACGATGCGCGGAACTATGCGGATTTCCAGGATGACGAAGAGGGCAATGAGATATCGGATGAAGATGAGGAGGATGGAGATGAAGGTGAAGGCGGCCTCATTATGGATATGGCGGACGAGGAGGAGGAGGATGAAGAAGATGATGAGTATTAGTTCGTACTTGATCCAGGGTTTACCGCGAGGTGCTGTGTTGATGTTCGCCATCTCCACAGCTTTAAGTCATTTAACGTGACTACATAATATGTCGAGAGATACATCAATTCAATGATTTTGACCTGCGATGGATGTTTATTCGTTCCAGCCTTCGAGCCCTGGTGCGCAACTTTAGGTCGGTCAGTGACGACCAGCAAAGTCTTCGAGTGCCAGATGAAGACGATGCTCCTCGGGCAGTTTGTCAAGATACGGAAGGTGTAAGGCGGGACTCTCACGCTCACACATAAAAGAGGAAAGAGCTAGAGAAGTTTAATGAATCTTTTAGTGAGAACCCCATTTCATCCTCTGAATTCTGCCTATTTTGCACCTTCCACTTCTTAATGATGGAAATTGGAAAATTAACATCATGATCTCACAGTTCGATGCATCGCTCTTTCCTCCACCCTCTTCACTTGTGCTGTTTTCGGGTCTGTTCTTGCTTTCTGCAACCTTTACGCTTAGGGGCCCTCTTGGCTTGGCTTCCCTCGCAACTTCTTCGTTCCACCCTTCATTTTCTTTTTTCCCTTTTTTTTCCTCGTTTCGTGGATCTGAGAGCTACTTAGGTTTGTGGTGCTATACGGGGAGGAGGGGGGTGCAGCTTCCGGTCAATTGACCGTCCGTTACTTATTTTACGAACGGGAATTGGATTGTTTACGATTAATAAACGTTCGTTCTTTCCAACGTCTCGGAACCTGCTACATGACAGGTGACGGTCAATTGACAGTAAATTGCTTTCGGACGTTTAATTTTCGAACGTTTCCCATAACCATACAGCCATCTGATCTGACTGGATTTAGATTGTAAGAGCCGCCTTGAACGTCCGGGGGTCTCGATCTGTCAATTGACCGGAAGCTGCACCCCTCTCCTCCCCGTACGGTGTGCCATCCGAAGTGCCACGGCCTGAGCTCGGAACCGGGGCCGGAGACTGATATGGCGCAAGGCGCGTTGGGGTGGTTTGAGGGTCTCACATAAGGTACGTTAAGGACGGTTGGTGAAAGTTCAGGACTCCAGGAGACTCAGGAGGTCAAAGGTCGAATGTGAACGAAATTAAGACAGTCTCTTTCTTACCTACGTAAGTCCCAATACCTATGAAATGAAGTGAACTCCCTGTGATGTATATACCGTATCTCCTTCCCCTCCAGCCCAAGGTCCAATCCTTTTCTCCCCCATTATTAGTGTTTAAAATCTCCCATCTTGCCAGAATTTAATCCCAGTTCGCGCAAATCCACATCCCTATCATGCACCTGAACCTTAACCTCCTGCGTCTGCAAAATCCCCATTCCTCGAGGGACATTGGTATGTGGATGTGGATGTCCATGTCCGTCCTGCTCCCGCTCCCGCTCCCGCTCCTGCTTCTTGCTCTTGCTCTGGGTCCGTTCAACACCAACCTCAAAGACACCCCTAAGTAGTCCCGTATAGCTGCTAACGCTCGAGTTGTTTGACCGATTATCAGCCGTGGCCACCGTCGTGGATGTGGGTGCGTACCCGGAGGAGGTCACTTGGACGGTTGTCATTGATGGCCGTGGCTGGAGTGTCACTGGCCCTGGGGTATTAACCGCACCAGCACCGGCCCCAGAGCCAGAACCAGAATCATGGCTTGCTTCAGTGTGTTTTTCTAGCCGAATTATGTGGTGCTGCTGATGGTGCTGCTGCAACTGATGCCCGTGGGTGTTTTCTTCGTGCCTCCGATGCGTGATGATGACGACTTCGCGGGCTAACACGCGGAATTGTGGGATGGAGGCTGCGCAGATGGTTGTGGCTACTTCGGCGGCGCCCCAGATGATGAGTCTGTACCCGTGGTCTAAATATTCAGGAGACGTATATGAGTATCAAGTGTAGAAGTTATGGCAGAAGGGGAGAGGGGGTTATTTGACGGGGACTGTGTGGTTTAAGGCGAAGAGCCACTAACAAGAGAAGTCACGACTCATCATCTCCGGAATCTTGGAGCATTTGATGAACGCTGTGCATGCTGCACTGCCGGGAGAGACACTGCGGTTAGATTTGGAACTGGCATGGGGGGGGGAGTTGTGAGTTCGCTTACAAGAGACCCATGCTCATGGCAATACCGATTCCAATCTTCTCCTTTCGTTGCATGTGCAGGCTCCATATCAGACACCAGGGCAAGATTGCAAGCACAACGTCCATTAGACCTGAGTATACTGCACAAAAGGGATCAGCATAACGGAGCCGAGAATATCTGGCCGTCTGTCAGGGGTCTTGATACTCACTTCCAGCGAACATCATAGAAGAAACCGTGAATTTCTTGCTCAAGCAGTATGTTTTGTCTTCTAAATTCCCATTGTCGTCAACTCCACATTGTACCCATACCGCTACCACGTTGAAGATTATGAACGAGTTCATGGTTGCAATGATGATCAAGACCAGTGCCCTAACCTTTGCTCTGTCCCGTATAAGGCGTAAAACAGTCAGGCCAAATGAAGTCTTGCTCCAGACAGCACCCAGCATCATTGCCGTGGTGGAGAGGCGCGTGAGAGTATTGATATGCTTGAGGTGGTCGTGCTTTATGTTGTCCCTGTGTTTCCCGAAGCCAAGACGAATGTTGATGGTGTTGACAATGGCATCGAGTATGAGGCAAAGCTACGTATCATGGAAAAGAGGTTAGAGAGGTCAGTGGGTAACAAGACCTCCAAAAGTGTTCCAGGCATTGAGGATGCAAGTGTAGGGGCACGTAGGTAGCTTACCCAGGCGACAACGAGAACATGATCGTCCCACCACAAAGATGTTTTCCGCAGAAACTTGCTGTAAATGCGGAGGCCAAAGAACAAAGCCGACACGCAGACCAGCAACCAGTCGGCAATGATGATTTCCGGTCCTACAGATACCGTGGGACCGCCTGCGTTGCTCTCTGACCGGCCGAATCGAAAATTTTGCCTCTCAAAGATAGGCATCGTGTGGTGGGAGGTATTTGGGAGTGCCATAATGGGATATTTTGACTAAGGCCTAAGACAGCGCTTTAGAAAGTGTGCTAGATTGGGGAGTCGGTACTGGTGCCTTGCCCAATTACTAGACTAAGAGTTGAATCTCGAGTGATAAACAGGGCATGGCTCATTGGCACGGGGCCCTATTGAGGATAATCTGTGTCTCACAAGGAATCTTGCACACAATGCCAGTGGCCAGGAGGAGAAATGCTGGGTCATGGTATCACGAATGTGCGAAGGACTACCCTCCGTCTGGACTGATGGTGAAAGTTTGCTTGCTTTTCGTTTGAAGCATAGTTCCTTGGTAGTATGAGAACTGCTTGGCAAGCATGGCCACTGATAACCAAATTGGCCAAGGGGTTGTCCTCTAGGCCAACAATACCCCGTGGGAGTCTCGGACAGCCATCATGACAGTGTGCCTATGATAATCCGAGGGGGATGGATTCCCGGGCATGACATTCCCCGTTACTCGGAGTTGTTTCCGCTGAGCTTTTTCGTCTGCTATCGTCGGATAGATGCGTAGGAGGAAGTGGGACTTATAAGCGTGGCCAGCACGTGAAGCCATGGGTTCGGAGGTGATCAACGCGGAGTGCAGATCTTGATCTGCCTATTCTCGACGGCCACGGCCCACGGCCTGTGACACGCGAACGCCCACTCCCACTCGAGAGCAGCGTGTATAGATCGGGCTTATCATCGTCTTTGGAAATCGGTTGTGCCAAGGAGGATATTAGACTGTTTGCTGTATGGTTGAAATTGGTACGCCGAAGCGTCAGGTGTTTGGCAATTCATGTCGTCCTTCTTGACTTGGGAGTGTCATTGAGCGCCTTCACTTGCCGGAGTCGGGCTTCGGGGACACCGGGCATCCCGGATCGTTTGGCATCACATAAGTGTGTGGAACCTGAAGAGATATTACACTTCCGACACCGTGGTTCCCGGGTAACAATCGCGTCCACCAAAGAGTTTGGGGTGTAGATGTTGAGAAGATTGTTGTGAGTTGGGTGAAAGAGAAAGAAGATGACGAGATGAAGCAGCACGTCGTCGGTTAGCGTGATTAGAGATACGCTGTAGTGGGGCAGAGTCTGGAACATCACTTAACAGTACAGCGGGCTCGGCAGGGGTACATTTGATTAAGCTTTGCGTGAGTGGCAGACGCAATGACGTCACTGCATCTATTCCTGGGTCGAGCCAGCTTTCAGTGAGGACCGTTGTGTCGGTTGCTGAATCCAAGGTCCTTGCTTGGACAGGGCTGTTTCGGATTTGGAGTCGTCTTTGATCCCGTCTATCGGTGTTCGTCCCAACTATTCTCCCACCTACTCTTCTTCTCGTTTTAGACTTTTCTTAGTAGTTTAAGTCCTACCTTATCACCATCATTACCACGACTCGCCTTGCGACAACTCAATTGCCGTTGCCAATATCCTAAATAGTCTCTCCCTCCTACCTACGCAAACCAACATTTAACGACCTTTGCTTGCATATACATACAGACCGACTGCGACTATGAACTGCGTGCGCATGCGGCTGCAATGCCGCTTGATGCGATCTCCCAACACTCTGGCCCGCTGGTGCCTTGAATCACCGCAGACAAATCTCACCTCCCACCGTCCTAGGATACCCATTGTCGCACTGAGACAAGCCTCTACCTCGGTGTCGCAGAAGACCAGGGAAACAGAAGCCGAAGCAAAAGCCAAAAAGCTGAACCAGAAGCGACTTGATGAACACGAAGAGGAGGTTAGGGCGCGCGAGCAACAAGTAAGACGCCCATGGCATCGCGAAGGTGCCGATAAGCCTCCGGTCCAAGGCAATGGAGATAGTGCCGAACCCATAGCAAAAGGTAAGCAATTGCAGACATGGAGAATGCGTTACTCAGAACCCAAGTGCTTATCACTGATCATCTTTCTCGCTAGGCAAGCTCCTAACAACGCCGACTCGTCTCCTCAAACTCATCCTTCCTCTACCCCTTCGTGTCGAGAAAGACCAAGAGAACAATAGCCATAGCAATGAGTACGGCCGTTCGATATCACTCAACAGCGAAATCCAGCCACTCGCTCTGCTTATACACCCACAACAGCCACTTTCCTACGTCGAACGCCTGATCCAAGCCGAGCTTCCGCCTGTGATGGAAAATGGCAAGGAGAAAATTCCCAACGTTTACTTCCGAGCCGAAGATTCAGAACAAGGTGACCAGAAACCCACGAGCCGCTCCGAAGCGAGATCCAAAGACAATGGCGGAGAGCCTAGCGAGTACAATACCAACATGTCACACGTGGCCTCATATTCCGGACTTGGCCACCTAGGCCCCAAGCGGAGTTCCGAAGATAAGAAATGGGTGCGGTGGAGCAGTAGTACCGAGATGGGCGACTTTATTCGGGACGCAGCGCGCGGCCGAGAGTTTGCAGTCGAAATCGAAGGGTATAACATCGAGATGCGCGTGAGTGTTCCCTCGTTCGGGGACCGGACATATTACATGCGCCAGCGTCTGCGTAAGATGAGCTCCGAGATCGATGGGTTGGCCAAGATCAAGCACGAGTGCGATCTTTTGGCACACCGGAGCGCACATCGCCTAGCCAAGGGCGGGTTTGGCCTGCTTGCTGGGTGGTGGGGAGTGGTGTACTATGTGACGTTCCATACCGAGTTCGGCTGGGATCTGGTCGAGCCGGTGACGTATTTGGCGGGACTGACGACCATCATGGGCGGTTACCTGTGGTTCCTCTACATCAACAAGGACCTTAGCTACAAGGCTGCCATGAATGTGACGGTTTCGAGAAGGCAGCACGCCTTGTACGAGATGAAGGGCTTCGACATTGATCGGTGGGAGCAGTTAGTGCAGGACGCAAATGCGCTGAGGAGGGAGATCAGAGTGATTGCGGTTGAATACGACGTTGACTGGGACGAGACGCGCGACGTTGGTGAAGACGTAAAGGAAGTCCTCGATGAAGAGACGACAAGGAAAGACGACGAACACCGGTCGATCGAGAAGGAGAAGGACGAGAAATTCACCGAGGATGAAAAGAGGAAACGCAACAAGGAGAAGGAGTCGAAGAAGGAGTCGGGAGATTCATAAACCCGGGCAAAATTGTATACCTAGAAGCAAGCGGACATTGGAGTCACACACGATCGGATCATTGGACGGGATGTTAATTTTAGTTGAAATAATCTGATACAATTGATGGCTGAATGCCAGGCGCAAAATAGGTCGGTGTCTTCGGATAACGGCAAGGGAACGGTGGGGAAAAGACTCAGTGCTGCCGTGCATCAACCACGCCATGACGTGTGCAATGTGGTCTGACCCAGCTGTCCCTGTCGCTCAGTTAGACAGCTACTAATTTGATGAGAACTCACCTCGTTATCTCACCTTATCGGAGATATCCTATTAACAGTGGGGCTAAAGTGAGCTTGGATCATGACCAGGATGGAGCTTTCCAACGGTGCCCTTCTTGCCCCTCCGATCGCCATCCAAAAGTGGAATCCATTGAACGACGATGAAATAAATGAGGAAACCACGAAAATGGGATGTCGCTCCCGTCCTTTCAACTTCTAGGAAAAATTGGATGCTCCGTCCCTGCTGCTCTTACCTTTCACGGAAAAGGCATCATGGGATACCTGAGAGAACATGTATTAGCCGAGGGCCTTTGGTCAGACATCATAAACCCAAAAGCTCCAGATGGCCAGGCCATGATCCCACATATCTCGTGCCATCTCGCCATGTCCTAATCCAAGCCGGCATGGAGTGATACCGATCCTTACCTATCCCACCTTTTACCCCACACTATTTCAACTGGCTGCCCTGCCCGCTTTGCTACGCTGATCGTCCAACGTTTGTCGCACTTCCTCTTGACCCCGCGAACGGACGGCCTTTCAAACACCTCGCCGGCTTCGCTTGACTACAATCCTCACGACAGCCTTCCATCTTGTCTTGCGAAACACTGACATCTTAGTTACCTCTTCCATCCAGAGACAGACCATTTCGGTCCGATGGGACCCCAAGTCATCCGATTGCCCGACGGGCAGCTCATCAGCGTCACTCCCGTGTTCGCCGGCCTCTTCTTCAAATCCCACGAACTCAGTACTCCTCAACACGCTATTCCCGCCGGCTGGAGCATTGTCATACAAACCGAAGATGATCGCAAGCCCGGCGATTCTTCCAGCCACGACGCCAAGGAGGGCGACGAACACGGCGCCGAGTCGAAACCAGCCATACACTCGTATACCAAGCCCACGCTCCAGAATGACAGCCTGTTCATCTCCTCGGTTTCGATGCCTGCTAGCAGCGACTTTAAGCCGGCCGCCAGCCCGACGCGACAGATCGCCATGATGCTGTGGGTTACCCTGTACTGGTACTTCCACCAGCCCGCCCCTTCGCCCATCCTACACACCGAGGCTTCCAAGTCCACGCCCACCGCCGGCCGCCCGCGTGGTGACTGGAAGATTCGCATCAAGAAGGACGGCGTCCTGCGCGGGAGGAATCTCATACCAAAACTCGAACGCATGGGTCTCATAGCCAGCGCCGATTCCTCTGTTGGCACTGCCCTCGATGACTCGGACGAGCCGTGGGCCAACATGTTTGTCTCGCGCAAAATGTTCTGGCAGATACCCGGCCGTCTCTTCCTCTTCTCCCTCCAGCCAAACTTGAAGAACCTCAAGTCCTACCCCGGCTCCCCGGCCGTCAGTAGGCCTGGGTCCCCATCCCAGATCACGGACGTATCCGAATCCCAAGCTTCCTTGCCTCCTGGTTCCATGCCATCCTACCCCATCGGTCCCTTCTTCAGCGCCTCCTATCTTCCGACCTATTATCCTCCTGCGCCCCTGCAGTACACAATCACCAACCATGTGCGTCACCCCATCCGACCAAAGCCTCCTCGTATGGGTGAGGTCTTCTACACCCGCTTCGTGCCTTCCGTTGGCCAATATCTCGCTTTCCGTGTGGCATCTCTTTCTGAAAACCCAGTACCTTATTTCGGCCCCATTGGTCCGAACCCACCTCAAGGACAGAACCATCTCGGTGCCCAGATGACGGACGTGGCACTGATACAAGCCTGGCATCAAAGCCCACGCGTCTCTGCTTTTTGGGGTGAGTATTCGGTCAACTTCTTGACCAATGCCCTCAAGAGTAGACACAGCTTCCCCGTCATCGGCATGTGGGATGGTGTGCCCTTCGGCTATTTCGAACTTTACTGGGTCAAGGAGGACTTGTTGGGTCGCTACATTGGAGGGGAGTCAGCGAATGACTGGGACCGTGGCGTCCATGTCCTGATAGGAGAGGAGTGGGCGCGTGGGAGAGTACAAGCTTGGCTTAGCAGTTTGGTGCACTATGCGTTCACGGCAGAATACAGGACCATGAGCATGTGTGTCGAGCCCAGGGTGGACAACACCAGGTAAGTCCATGTCGTTCCGGAAAAGCCTCGCTGCTCTCAACGGGATCATGGAAGCTAATCGCTCATCTTAGGTTCATTCAACATCTTGAGTATGCTGGGTTCACCAAAGAAAAGGAGGTGACGTTTCCGCACAAACAGGCATGGTTTGGTCGGTTGAGGAGAGAATCTTGGGAAGGACCTGCTCTATGAGTTCAGTTCCCATGCAGTATACCACAAATCTAGCGGACGGCACGTCCCTTTTATAAGTAACACGCTCCTAAAACACAACGAGGGCTGTCGACGCGTGGATAATCCTCCCACGGACGCTTCACCTACTCAACTTTTCATATACCTGTTCATCACTTCACGCCACAGCAACGGGCTATCGGTTTCAGCGACCAATATACGGCTGGCTACAGCCAGTTCGTCCCTAGTTCTGACCTGCCAAGACTGCCTGGGACAGGAAGCCTTGACTTGGACCTCGTTCATCTCCCATCCAGATTTGGCAGGTCTTTCTACGCAGAACATGGCTACCATGTACACAACGACTACCACCAACTTTAAGCTGGCACAGAGCATTGTGTGAACCAGGATTCTCACAATCGGCGACTACCAACTTGACGGCAACCACTCGGCTTCTGCTTCACCGTGTTGCTGTACTACGCACCGCTCCTTTTCAGATGTTCCTGTTGTGCCGGATCAACTCTTTACGCATACAGAGAGAAGAGGCTGCGTTGCACAACTGGGTAGGTGGAAAGATTCGCAAGTGCAATTCCTGTAATACTACTCCATACCGTTGAACCTTGGAGGAGGCCAGTGCTGAGTTTCAAAACAAGTCACAAACACATTCCAGCTTAGCTTGACTGTTTCGTTTGCTGATGAGGGTTCTGTTACAGGGAACGGCCCGTTAAAGCACCAGAGCTTTACAAACACCTAATTCCCGTATTCCACCATGAGTATGGAAGATAAAACGGTCATGAGCAAGAGATGCAATTGCACTCGGTTCTTTCGAGAGTAATATTGTGTCTTTCTTGACGACTTTATGGAGTCTGCCACCAGAAACCAGAGGTTTTATTGAAGGTCTGTCTGAGAGTTCTGCAATGACCTTTCTCTGAACCATTAATGTGCAGAAAGAGCATGTTTGTCACTTTCACGTCTTCGGCGTTTCCTTTCCATGATCGCTTTTCCTATTTACTCAGCCCTGCGGCTTGCCCTTGCCCCCCGACCCGGCACCAATTTATAGACCCCTTGAACGTTGTCCAACGCGGAATTATTGCACAAGCCAGGCAATATGTTTCACCAGACTTATTTGGCCCTCCTCGACTGATATTCGTTCCGCTCGACGGGGGTATACAAGCTCGGATAGGCACAGCTAAGCTGAAGTCCTTGGCCGATGTTTCACGCGCGTGGCTTTTTCCCGTCATTCTTCCGTTCAAGGTACGAGTTCTTATACAAAGCAATGAAAGACCAGACTGTGTGTGGCTGTCAGCCCTCCTCGCTGTTTCTTGCCACTTGCTTTTCGATTTTTCTTTGTTAAACTTGCACTGTCTGTCTGAGTTGAGCGCAACACCTCAGTACCGATATATAAGGCTGTATCTGTTCTGGAAGCCAGCCCTGTCAATTTTCAACGTACAGCTTTTACCTGCCTCCAGTGCTACACTGGTACACTCGGAGCTCAATCAGCTACATGCAGACCTGTCCCACCAACTCCTCCATACGTCTAGTTGTTGCCGGGACGTGTGTTCACACACCTAAATTCCCACAATGAGGCCCAATATCTTGTGTCTGGTTGCAATTCTGAGCACACAAGGAGCAGCCAATGAAGACCCTTTAAAGGACGATTTGCGCCCTTCAATCTGGTGTTCGGCTGCGTTTCTTTACCCAAGCCAAGACCGCCTGGGTAACAACGCCCTGAAGAACGTCTTTCACGGATTCTGTGGGTTGAAAGGTTACGAGGTGTCTACCGATATTGATCTCAACCAATGTTTGGAAAACGTGAATGGGCAGGTGCAGTGGAAGGAGAAGTAAGTTTCTTTGATTGCTCCGTCCCCATTCACCCAATTTGTCTCACTGCGCATCTTCATTCAGGAATTTTCACGCTTGGGATATGGACCACGAAGAAGAGGAAGATAGCATGAGAGTGACCAGCCACTGACATGTGTGGAAATTTACAGTGGAAACGGAATCGGGAATTGCGAGTGCAGAAGCAAGAGAAACACTCCTCTTGTTATTGAGTGTCAATGCCCCGATGACGGGGGCAACAGGAAGATATCAAGCGTTAACCTCAGTGAGTTTTTTTCCCCATCAAACACTTCCTTTCTTGTGACCTCTGAACAGATAAGCGTCTCTCTGTTCAACCCGGGATGTTTACGGAAAACTTCATGCTGCATCGAACAGAAGCTAATGCAAGTCCTTACTACTGTACCAGATGAGCAACTCAAGTACGAAAACGGCACCTTCAAATGCTTTGGCGCATCGGGAAAGACTGAGGATGTGTCTTATCGACTACCCGGCAGATCAGGAGAGGGCGGGGGTGAGAAACTGGGTCTTGAGTCGAATATGATACTTAAAAGAGGGCAAAGAGGGTGAAGTTGCTAGCCTGAGGATGTGGCTAGAGGTACATATGGAGGCAGGAGTCATTGTACTCGAGGGAGACATGGTCTTGGAGTTCTTTGGATATGGGTTTTGCAGATACATCATCGCGCCTTGGCAAAGACCAAATGATCGAAAGTAGGAGACATGATTATACGTGGAAAACTTTATTGATCTCCTTAGTATTTGCCATTCTGCGCCACCTTCTCTCCCGTTGTAGTCATCTTCTTTCGTTTAATGACTGCCTTCTTTGAATCATCTGTCCTGCTTGCCGTCCTCATTGTATCGAGACTTCATATGTAACCCTAACCCCGCTGAAAGCCTACTTCTTCTCGGAATGATCACGTGCGAGAGCTAGCTGGGAGTGTGCAAATTCCCCAACCCCCCAAGCCCTGGGAAAGCGTCATCGGCCAATTCAACAAGTACCTAGAAGTTTGGCGAGCTTCGCTTTCGGGGCCCGAGCATTTCTCCAGACCCCTTGGGATTATTGAGGGATTCACTGTTGAATGCGACAGCAATCGAGTTAGGAGCGCAGTTGGGGGAAATACCTACCCCAGCCCACAAGATGGCTGCTAACCCCCCCTACATCTCGTCCATCTTCAGTTCCGCACCCCCCGAGCATCAGCACCCTGTCATCTCACAACAGCAACAAGTCCAACAACAGCAACAGCAGCAACAACAACAACAACAACAACAAGCTGCTCAGCCTCAGCAAAGTCAAGCGCGGCAGAAGCAACCACGCAAGCCCCGCCAGCCAAGGAAACAAGCTCAACAGCAACAACAGCAACAGCAGCAGGTCCAACAGCAGGTACCTCTGGTCTCAATTGACGCTCAACGTTTTGCTCAACTCCAAGCCGAGGTTGGTCAACTTCACCAGCTTGTTCAAGGTATCATCCATCGCCTCGATGCCTACGGTGTCCCATCCCTGCCCGGCGGACATCATGCACCCCTTCTTCTTCCGCAACAGCACGCCGTCCCAGTTTCCGCTGCCGGGACTTCCACCCTAGGAGGGGCCACTGCAAACGCGGCAACCAACAACACCATCAACTTCAATGCTCTTCTCGATGGCGGTGGCGGTGGTGAAAGTAGCGCTACCGGCGGCGTAAGCGGCATCGTCAACGGCGACCATCATCATCATCATGATGACAGCGGCGCCAACGTCGTCACCCACCACCAAGAAGACATGGACAACGACGTGGACGACGACGACGACGAAGAATCCCGCCAGCTCCAACTCCTCTCCGCCAACCTAGTAGGCGACCAATCCCTCCCCTCGGTCTCCTGGGGGGTCGGGGACAACGGCGGCGGCGCCTCTTCCGGATCAGGGACAGGTTTCGACATGGCCTACCCGCCTCAGGGGCACATCTTCCACATCCAACTCTCCACCTCGGCAGGCGGAAAGAACTACGTCGGCGGCGGCCCAAATGGCGCCTCGGTCGTGGTCAACAACTGGACGCGCCAGCACGGCTACCGCGTCATCACGCGCCGGTCCAAGATCAAGAACGACCGGTACCACCTGACCATGTCCTGTGCGCTCAGTGGGAACAAGTACCGCCCCGTGCCGGGGCCGACGCAGGAGCAGATTGAGGAGGCGAGAAGAAACGGGCAGCGGAAGCCGTATCAGAGGAGGATCGGGACGGATAAGTGTAATTGCCCTTTTAGGTTCGTGCTCAGGGAGACGGCCAAGCATAGCTCCACGTTTGAGGTCCGTTGGACCATGGTCGGGCAGGATCAGCAGCCGGCGATGCATAATCATGGGCCGGATCCGAAGGCGTTGGTGGGGGATGAGTAGTACTCGCGTTCAGGGCTCGTAGAGTGGGAAGTTCAAATGGGTGTTTACGGTGACGGAGAGGAGGGCGAGGCGAGCAATAGAGGGATTGAAGATGGGAGGGAAAGGGTTGAAGGACAAGAGTTTGAGGATGAATAGACTGCGGAAGCTTGAAGGGCGGTTTATACATCAACCAGCGTCGGTTGTTTTTTCCTTCCTTCGTTGGACCTGGGTTTAGAAACCGTACGATGGAACCCAGTTGCGGTTTGGACTGGTCATCGGCGGAAGAAACGGTTCGAAGTCTATATACGGGTCATTCATGCGTTTCCTTTGTTTACTTTCTTCATTTCTCAGTGTGATTTACTTGTAGTGTTTAATGTGTATGTTTTCCGGGTCGACTTATTTCAAACGCAAAAGAGGACATTAACAGATTCCTGGACTATCTCAACTGAACAAGCTTAGAGGTATGATGGCCAAGTCTCTTGAGTGATGTGCAATTCAACTTACTGTCTACAATCTAGTACTGGTTTGTTTATTAGCTTGGTACCTACTCCTGGTACACTGGACGAGATCTCTTCCGAATTGTCCCAAACCTTTCAAGGACTAAATGAATGGCTAGGTACGGATCTGAAAGGCATCAACAAGATTCAATACGGTGTATTTTATTTTGGAAAAAGCATATTCACAGTTAAATTACACTTTGGTCGAAGAACGCAACGGATCACTTAGACATAAAATCACCTAAGGAAGTTGTCCCGAGGTCTCGAGCTAACAAACAAACCAGTATTGGACTGTACATAGCTTGTGCTGACATTCTGATAGCTTCTTAGTAAACAATACGTTAGTAGCTTACCTTTGGGGCTTACTATTGTAAGAGTACCCTTTTTGTCATATGCGCTTCTACATAGCCTAGCTGACCTAGGTATAGGTAGCGTTTTCGGACTCTCGATGTAACCTCTGGCATCATTTTCATACAAATACCAATCCAAGCGCCGGAAGCATTGCCATTCATCATGATTCACATTCGTTCATCTTCTAACCCTCACGCAACGAACACATATCAAGCCTCCACTCCTACACTTCTCGGCTCTACCCAATCTACTTGTGTCCCAAACCCGCCCTCACAACCAACAAAGTCAAGAACAATGCCCAACGATACACCGTGACCCAACAACAACGACCAAGGTTCATCAGGGACAGGAACAGTCAGGTTACCACCTTCCCACTTCATCCCCGAAACCGAATTCTGCGTTTACGGAAAAGTAAGTTCACTTCAGTCCCTTCCTGCTTCCATTCCATCCCTTTCTTTCTTCCTTCCTCCCCAGCCCATTGTCAAACCCCCATTCCCCCCTTATTCTCCCAAATCACCACCCTGCAAAACCCATTAGACAGACCCTTCCCACGCACACAGGTCCACGCCCACCCCCAACACGACTCCGCCCTCGCCCTCGTCTACGAAGAAACCACCCGTCTCTCCGCCTCCGAACCGGGGGTGATTTACTACTGCATATCCCGGGAATCAGAAGATTTTGAGACGGGTGGAGATCCAAGGGTTTTCCACTGTTTCGAGAGGTACACGGTAAGAGAAGCGTTTGAGGCGCATAATCGGCAGCCGATTAGTAGGAAGTTGTTGGAGGAGGAGGATGGGTACATAGAGAGGGTTGAGGCGGCTCGGTTTTTGCGAAGCCTCTGGCGTGAGCCCTGAAGGCAGGAAGGAAGGCGCCTCTGAGGGTGAAACGGGTAAAGGTGAGGTGAATTCGAGTGCCTGCCTGCCTGCCTGCCTGCCTGTCTCTTCCAGTCGGCAGCCGCACCTTCCATCTCAATTAACCCATTCCTCCTCCCAATCATTACCCGTATGCCATATAAGCTCCCGTCCCATACGTCCTTCCAACACTGCCCCCAGCCAACGACCAGTTCGATCCTGGTCGGATAGCGCAGACAGTAGTGCCGTCCCAGCTCTGCATCTCCCACCCCGTCCGACTTCGAGTTCGATTCTCGGACGGGGCAGATCATGAGGTTCCTTTTCAACAAAGACAAAAGGCCGACAGCGTGCCCATCCATGTCGTACACCGCGGGATTTGTTTGTATATGCTGACCGGGCTACTGGGCTAGTTGAACCGAGCAACTTGGTTGTGCTATCTGTTGGCAACTTTTTTTTTTTTTTTTTTTTTCTTCTTTTCCCTTAAGGTTGTTTGTTGATCAAGCGCAGACAGAGTCAGCTATTCATTGTATCAGCGTCAGATGTATCTTGCGCAAAGCTGGATGGATGGAGGCAGGCAGGCAGGTGTGAGTTCAGCTGCAGAGACACTCCACCTGCCGCGGGTGGTGAGAGAGATGATATCTCTCGCTCTTTCCTCTTACCTATGCGTGAGCATGACAGTCTGTCTTGTCTTGCACCTTCCGTTTCTTGACAAGTTGAGCATCGTCTTGATCGTCACTCGAGGCCGGGGACGTCGGATACAGTACCGAGCACTGGCTCCTCATGTCCATGATATTCAGTTTTGTGATTCTCGACGCCAACACTCGGATTTCGTCGGAAAACCTCATGAATTACCACCGAGGTGGCAACGACTTTATATTTCCGGAAATGGGTGAAGCCATTCCCGAAACCCAAGGTTTGAATCACCGACCGGCATGTGGTACCGTACGAAGCTTTCCAACTCGAGGTAGTGTTCTGCTCCTTCCCAATCCCGTCCTTGTTTCCCCGCACTTTACCAGATTTGCCTTCCACCAACAATCCAGACCGTTGTTGATCAGCTGTCTGTCCCAAGCTTCCAACTGAATGCATGTAACGTAGGACATAACACAAATTGTGTTCAAGATGGGGAAGGAGATATTGGCTTCCCTCCATTTGCGGGGAATGGGTTCATCGAGAATGATGTCTCTCTTCGACGCCCCCGCATTCTTATCCCTTGTGCACTTCTCAAGTACCCGACGGCAGTCATATGTGCATATCATGCTGCTCAAGTAGCCCATCGACTGCAGAGTGCGGACCGGCAGATATAGTGAGTTCGACCATTTCTCGACGATACCCTCATATCAAGCTGTCATCGGACTAACGCCTTTGCCTGCCACCCTTAGCTGCAATCAATTGTAGTCAACAAAGTCCCAGAACTCCCGATGAGCCGTTGCTTCGCCAGCCATGCAACCCCCAAGACCAACCGTTGAGATCGCCGAGGATCTCGACGACGGCACCACCCGACGCGTATCAAGTCATGACCCAGAAAAGATCCAATCGAGCGCCGGCACAACCCAAAGATTCAGCGAACAAATCCCACATGAAATGCTCGAAGAACTGGCTCCCAATGGAGAGGGCGACCACATCTGCGAAAAGGTCGATAACATGACCGAGGAGGAGGCCATCGCCATCGTTCAGGAATCCGTGAGGTTTCACGCCGACGACTGGAACTTCCCCTCAGAAATGCGCGAGCGTATGAAGCGGTTGCTCAAGGGCCCCAAGGCGTACGGGGAGTTTTACGATCGGGACTTGCGGATCGACGCCACCCTGATGCGCTACTCGTCCCCTTATCCCGGAGTTCGCGCGGTCCAGGAGTTGAAGGATGATCCGACTGTTCCGATTGAGACTATCAGGGCGTACTTCTTGGGGGTGGCGTGGGCGGTTATTGGAACTTTCATGTCTACCTTCTTTAACAGCAGATTTCCGTCTATCGGTATGTTTGATATTGTCTCTGGGACTCGCTCATCCTTCACCCCTTGGAAACTGGGACTGACTGTTTCTGGCAGGTCTTAGTGGGTCGGTTATCCAGATCTTGCTCTTTCCATGTGCCAAGTCACTGGAATGGGTGCTGCCAGATTGGGGTATCACGGTCTTTGGCGTTCGTCACTCGCTCAACCCAGGACCGTGGACGTTCAAGGAGCAGATGTTTGCCACGATTTGTTACAATATTGCCATATATACCACCAACTCATATGGAATGGTACGTTGCCGATGTGGATACTGGGATGATATAGGCTGACTCGTTTGACAGATTTTGGTTCAAAGGATGGACGTTTTTTACGGACATCAATTCGTCAACTTCGGATACCAACTCATGTTAACGCTTTTTGTCCAACTCATGGGCATGGGATTTGCCGGATACCTACGGAGATTCAGTGTCTACCCCGTCAAGGCGCTGTGGCCGACCATTCTTCCCACGATCGCCATGAATCGAGCTCTGACAAGACCCGAGCCGAAGGAAAACATATACGGATGGACCATTTCACGTTACCGCTTCTTTTACATATGTACAGTCAGCATGGCAATCTATTACTGGTTCCCAGGATATCTCTTCACTGCGCTTTCAACGTTCAACTGGATGACTTGGATAGCTCCGAATTCCATTGTCCTCTCTCTTTTGACCGGCTCAATCACAGGCTTGGGATTGTTCAATCCCATCACTACGTTTGACTGGAATGTCGCCACGAGCTCGTATGCCGCACTATCACAACCTTTCTTCGCCACTTGTACTATGTACTTTGGCGGCATTCTCGGTGGTCTTATCATTCTCGGCATCTACTACAAAAATATGAACTACACGGCTTTTCTACCCATCAACTCTAGCTCAGCCTTTGCCAATGATGGGACGCCTTATCAGGTCCAGAAGGTGGTGGTAGACAATAAACTGGACCAGAACATGTACCAGAACTATTCACCACCTTTCTACTCTGCTGGATATATCCTGACTGTTGGAGCAAACTTTTGCTTCTACCCAGTGTAAGTCAACTCCTTTCACCCAGCCCATTGTCTTGATCTGACCATTGTTCATTTTTAGCTACTTCCTCTATATCATGGTCAACCAATGGAAGACTATCGGCCAAGCCTATGTTGACTTCTACCATGGCCTGCGTTACGGAAAGGGTAACTATGAAAGGGCAATGGACGTCCATTCTCGACTTATGGCTCAGTATCCCGAGGTTCCGGATTGGTGGTTCCTCATCATCCTCATGGGCGCAATTGTCGTATCCGTCATCTTTCTTAAGATCTACCCGCTCGATACCCCGGTTTGGCTCGTGTTCCTTGTCATTGGGATTAACCTTGTCTTTGCCGTGCCGTTGTCGTTCCTGTCGGCAACCACTGGCACGAATCTCGGTCTGGGGGCATTGGTCCAGGTAATCACGGGATTTCTCCTACCTGGTAACACCAACGCCTTTCTGTTTGCGCAGACTCTGGGGTCCTGGGCTCTAGCGGGATACGGCGACAACATGGTTCAAGACCTGAAGATGGGACACTATGTGCGCATTCCGCCCAGAGCCGTGTTCAGAAGTCAGATTGGGACCATCATCATCACGGTCTTTATTGCCGTCGGCACTCAAGACTTTATTATGAAGAACGTCAAGGGCCTTTGCACTCCCAACCAGCCTTCCCGCTTCACCTGCGCCAACGACGGGAATCCCCTCTACGCCAGCTCCTTGATGTGGGGCCTTCTCGGATCGGACCGCATGTTCAACTCCCTCTACCCATTATTCAAGTGGTGCTTCCTCATCGGCACTTGCATCGCCCTGGCTTTCCTCTTTGGGCAAACCTACGGCCCTCGCTATCTTCCTGGCGTCAAGGAAAAGCTCCGCAAGCGTTTGTCTCCGCGCACGTTTGCCATGCTGGACCGCACACTGTTCCCCTTTGTCGCGTCCCTCCTCTGGCTGAACCCGATCCTGGTCATCCAGGGCGTGCAGCACTGGGCCCCGAGCAACATGAGTTACAAGACGCCCGGGTTTATTCTTTCGTACGTCTTTATGTACTGGATGCCGAAACACCGGTTGGCGTGGTGGGAGAAGTACAATTACGTTTTGTCGGCTGCCCTGACGGCTGGGGTGGCCATCAGCGGTCTGATCATCTTCTTTGCGGTCGGGTATAACCCCAAGAAGCTGGAGTGGTGGGGGAACACGGTTAGTGGTGCGGGGGTGGACGGAAGAGGCACGGGGATCTTGGAGATTCCGAAGGATAGAGGGTATTTTGGGCCGGAGAAGGGGATGTTTCCTTAGAGGAGAAGGATGCCCTCTTCTGTTCTTTTGTCGTGTCTTTTTCTTTCTTCATGTTGAGATCTCTCATGATGCGAGTGATGATGGGAGTTGGCTCGCCCGGGACAAAAAAACGTAGACTCAGCAACAGTTTTTCAACAACAGATTAACAAAACACCTAGGAATTTTAAGGACGACCGAATAGTCGTAAGAATAGACCGAACACGTGACGGTCAGTACATTACACCTTGGGTATACTCTTATTACGCATCCAAGCGTCTTTATCATACCTTTGAACCCAACTTCTAGGCAGTTTTTAGATGTAAGTATCCCTAAAGGATTCTAGCCGATGTGTTTTCGAATTATCGTAATCCCTATCACAGTTTAGTAACGGCCCAAGAATTGTTTTGATAGCTTCGGCGATATTATAATTTTGGTAGTGCGGCCCGCGCACAGTCAACGTTTTTTGTCCCGGGCGAGACGAAGTTTTGACTATTTTTGAGGAAAAATGATCGACAAAGTCTCTGCAGTCCTAGGCTTGCCTTGGTGGGCTTCGACTTGTTTCATCGCTGCACAATGTACGTCAGCTGGTCCCGTATTGATGTTGGTGGTTGAGGATTTCGGGCGGTGAGCCGGTTTTCCAGGACATGGCCCCGTCTTGGATGGCTCTCTGGGTTTTCTGGGTGACTGGGTCGGCTTTCTGCAGGGACCATCCCATTGTAAATGCTTTGGGAATTGGGAAAGTTGGCGTTGCCGATGTGCCGCTGCAGTGGTTAAGGTTTATTTCGTTTCCCCGACGGCGGATGGATGGTCCCTGGGAGTCTGGGACTGCTCGTGCGTGGATGGACTCCGCCTTTCAACCTCATAGGGAATCATAGCAATGGCTGACCTGGTCAACCACCCGAATTGTTGACTGAAGCTGAAATCTCGGAGAACCTGACGAGGTTGGATGCTGGCGCTTACGAAGCCCGGGCCCGGGACCCGTCACCCGGCGCCGTCTGATCTCATCCCGGCTGAGCTGTTCGCTAGTGGGGCACGCTAGTCTACAGCTTGTCACATAGTGCTTTGCAGTGCTGTTATTGGGCCAACCCCCCGCATTTTGGAGATTTTGGGGTTGATGGGTCCTGAACGTGCATGCAAGTCGATGCATCAAGAAGGTACTGCGTACCTTACATAAGTGCGGTGAAGAAAAGACGCAGAGAAGGTTTTTTATATCTTCTTTTATTCCCTCTCGTGCTGGTCCCTTTGCCTTTGCAGGAAAGACCCTGAACTTATTGTTTTTTCTGTGTTTACAGAAAAAGGGACGCAACAACGGAAAGGCACACGGCGCAAACCCGGCCCAGGCACCGCAGCTACCGTATCCACAATCAACTACAGACGAACAGTCGACCCACTTTGGCGCACCCTCTTCAGCGAAACCAGCTTTGTTCAGCCATCGTTTTTTTTTCTTCGAGGAATTAAAAAAAGACGAGCTCGCAAGAGGCAACGGCGTCGAAAGACTTGGATCGGCTGCTCCAGCTATTTTCCGGTCGCCTGTCTCCTGGTTGGGTTACAACAACAAAGCTTCGAAACCAGGAACCATCTGCCGATCGACGTCATCGCAGTTATCAGGGTTCATAGCAGTTGACGCGCCGCGGCGACCTGTTGACCGCCAGACGAGGCAACCTTCAAAAGACCGGAAGAATAAGCCAAAGAAGGGTGACACAACGCGGAGCCAGCAACGTGAGCGACAGAGAAACTGGGCAACCCTCAAGGCTCCAAGGCTCAAGCAGTCTGTCCCGATTGGCAGAGCGCTGTCACCAGACACATACATAACCTTTTTGCGCGCCCAACCAGTTTTGGATTCTCGACCCTCCTGCGATTGTTTTGTGACTTTCGACTTTGCGCGGTTCACCAAAAAGCAACAAAAACCCGGTCGCATCCCATTGCAACGAGGAGTTCCAGAGTTGCGAACACTTTCTCTACCCATTGACCAAATTTGAGGAATCTCCATCCCAAACCCGCTCGTCAAAGAGCAACACATACCTACCAAAGATGCTCTTCGCAATGATGTTCGCCTTCTGGCGCTTCCTCGAAATAATCACCCTGGTAAGACCCTTTGACAAAACCCACAACGTCTCACCTCCCGTTCCACCTGTCTAACTAACCCTTTTGTCATCCATCAGATACCAACAATGGGCATGCTAGCCTACTTCGTAGACGGCTACGTCAAAGCCAACCAACTCACGCCCACCTACATCCTAATCCTCTTCATCGTCTCCGTCCTCGCGCTCGCCTGGTCCATCGCCACGCTGTTCAGCTACCACCGCTCCTCCACCAACGCGCAATTCGTCTCCTTCGTCGACCTCGCCTTCGTCGGCGCCTTCATCGCCGCCGTTTATTATCTCGGGTGGATCGGCTCCGTGAACTGCACCTCGGTCGATCGCGGGAACCCGTACTTTGTCGACTTGGGCGCCGTCGGGTCGGCGAACTTTAATACTTTCCGCATCAACATCAACAAGACGTGCGCGATGCTCAAGGCTTGTTTTGCGTTTGGCATCATGAATACCATTTTCTTCTTTATCACGAGCTTGTTGGCGTGGATTCATGGCGGACATACGGCCAGGAGCGAGAAGGTTTACCATACGACCAGGAAGACGACGACGCATAGTCATCATCATCGCGGTGGGAGTGGACATCGCAGGAGCCACAGTGGGAGTCATAGCAGGACCAGGAGGTCGCGGTCGCATTCGAGGTCGTATGTCTAGGAAAGATGTGACGTCGTGTGTGAGGTTTGGGAGCATGTACGGGAGGAGCATTGGCAGGTGCCGCAGGTGCCGCGGCTGCCGTTGGAAGGAGGACGACGAGAACGACGATTACCACCTGCTGAGAGCTTACGACAAGTGTCCGGCGGTGGTGGTGGCAATGAACAACGATGTTGTTGAACAATGTTCACAGCTTGGAGCATGGATGATGCACATGTTCTTCAAGAAAGATGATGATGGTGATGATGGATGGAGATATGGTCGAAGGGAGCTGCGCTCCTCTGCGAACCGGTTTTATGACTGTAATGATTGTCATGTACATACTTGATGATGATGATGATGAGAAGGACTCACGAGTCACGTACGGCAGATGTCTTCTCTTTATATAGAATATACGGCCAGTGGCCAACGCTTCTGCACCCACAGGGCCTTGTTCGCGGCTTGCGTGACACACTCCGCGTCAGGAAGGGCTTTCCGATTGAAAGGTGAGATTGAAGATCTTGTTATCACAGTGTTGTTTACGTTTAGTGTTGACTTCGACCTTTGCTGTCAAGATAGGGTAAGCAACTGACCCGAGTCACAGATAATGCACCCGTGACTGTGTGAGTCTTGACTGATACACGCCCATGACAATGGAGGTTGGCCATCATCGACCTCGTCTCTATACAAAAGGAGAGGCTGAAACCCATCGCTGAGTAGCGGGGTTTTGTCTTCCGCATTAATAATCACACTGGAGACAATTAACGACCGAGGCAATTCAGCAGTCGATATCAGCGAAGCGATTACCCAACATATCTTCGACACATACCCCATAGACAGCTCTTCAACCACCCAACATCCAAACAAGAACAATGGGTGCCACACTATCACAGCCATTCATTCCTTTACCCTTAAGGAGCATCAAAATCAAGTCCAAACGCCCCCGATTTCGATTTCGACTTCGGATCCGCTGGAAAAGGAAAAGAACCCTTCCAGAAATCCGCGCCCTCTTTCCCAACCCAGGCCATGACCGTCGAGAATACCGCGAGTCGAAGCTCTACGATAGCAGTTGCACCGAGGGCGAGGAGAGGTCTCCCCTCTCAGACAGCTACACCTTTACTTCCGCATCCTCTTCAGCCGTGCCCACATCCCCAGTAGCGGTGGCAGAAAAAGCACCGGGTGCCCTTGATTCTTTCGATGAACCGCCCAATGCCGCTTCACCCTCTACCTCCAGCTCCACCTCCACCTGCTCGCCCCAACAGCGCGTCTTGTTGATCTCGAAGCCCTTACCACAGTTGCCAGAGTCACCTCTACCTGCTTCTGTGCACCAGGTCGTCGCTAGGGGTAGCCAGGAAACAAAAGTGCTACCGAATAATACCAATAACGAACTTCAACCCAGAAGCCAGCTGAGCCAGACCAATGATACTTTTCTTAAACACACCAGCAAGCCAGAGGAGGACGATCAAGAAACGGAGCAAGATACGTCATCAGACTCGGACTTTCCACCACTTCATCGCTGCCCCAATCCCATTATTTCCTGCTCAGATGCCGATCCCGATCCCATTCGATTTGAGAGACCGCACACCCCACCCCCGTGGGACACCTCCCTCACCGGCTACGGCTCCGTACTAGAGGTTTCCCGCCCGTTCAGGGCCAGGCGCGTGTTTGAGCATCCGCTTGTTGAAGGACACTTTTGGGGGAATAAGGGAGATGATTCTGGTCATTATGGGGTTGGTGGCGATCTTGGTGGTGGTGGTGGCCCGATAGTGACTGAGGCGAGGAGGAAGATGTGGAGGAGGCTGGAGTCAGGGAAAGGGAAAGGGAAAGGCAACGTGGTGAATAATAAGGACAAAATGAAGGAACAACACAGGAAGATAAAAAGCAAAGGGGTGGAGAAGTCCCAAAAGACTATCAACAGAATGTCCGAGTGGAGGAGGTGGAAACCTTTACCCAAGTACCCGGCATGTACAGGCGTTGCTCAGAGGGCTAGTACGTGTGCTGCTGCTGCTGCTGGTGACAAGGCATGGATAGAGGAGGTTGTTGAGGAGGCGGAAGACCAGGAATATCAGGGAGGGGATGAGAAAGAGGAAGAAGATGAAGAGAAGGATGAGGATGAGGAGGGGGAAGATGACGAGGATGCCGAGGACTTGGAGGAGGCGATAAAGAGGTTCCTGGAGATAAAGATCCCGGTTGACTTGAACAGTTTACGTCGGTTGAGAACCAGTTTTGCGGGAACTGGAGAACATACAACGACTACTGGCAGTGGGACTGGGGAAGCTGCAGGGGGGGAGGCAGGGGAGGAAGATTTGGAGAAGGCGATGGAGGGGGAGGAAGGTCAGTTATCGCCTTTAGTCGAGTCCTTGATGTTTACGGACACGGACATTGAGGGCTTCGAATTTCTATTTGAAGAAGAGGACGAAGGAGGTGGGATATGGGATTCGCGAATAGTTGTAGGAGTAGAGAGCGGAAGGGTCGATGGAAAAGGTGAAGTCTGCAAGATGAACGGGCCAACTGGTGGCTTTGCAGGAGGAGATGCATCCAGAGCAGAGGTATCTGAAGAAGATACTGGACACAAAGTGAGGAGGGCTTTCAGCGCCACGCAAAGGTTGAGTCGGTGGAAGGAAAAGAAATAATGAGGGAAGAGGAGTTGAGAAGGAGAAGAAGAAGGAGGTGGACTGGGTAACAGAGGTTGTTGAGGAAGGAGAGACTGCTGTTAGAGCAAGAACGAAGAATCAAGAACTGAGAACGGAAAGGGGAAGGAATCACTGACCGAAAGTAAGAGAAACGCAAACATTCACCCCTCTTATGGTCTGTCAACCAAGGTATCCACAAAGCAAGCCTTTGTCTTTTCTTGTTGCTTCGAAAGTTACAACAAGATCCAATGCCACCGTTCCAGACCGACCGGCGATGCTATTTGTCTCACACAGGATGGGTTCGGGGATATGACAACCCGATCTTACGGACCCTCATCTGAAGATCATCTCTTCCCCGGTGCCACCTTGCCAAAAATACCACTTTCTTACAGCAGCAAAGCCGCTAATGAGACGCAGGAACAGACGCTATAGACCAATGCTATTGTGCCACAACAGCACGTTGTGGAGGCCAAGATGCATCCCACCTTTGTAAGTGAAAGAGTATCTCGTGGTGAGTTGCTACCCCACAACCAAGCTCTATCGCGGATCAATCACCATGAGTGGCAAGGTCTTGAACGGTAGTACAGGTCTAAAGTGGAAGGTCAGTAAATTATGTGTTAGACAACTCTCGAGGAATGACTTTGCGGGAAATAGCTATAAAGACGGCAACCACCATGCCATACTTGAACGTTCAGATCCCGTACTAAGTAGGTAACGAAGTGACTTCAACTTCCTCTCCTTTTGCAGCTGATCACTCCAACATGAGGTTCGCATCAGCAATCTTCACCCTGGCTGCGGCCACTCTTTCACTTGCTTCAGACCCCAGCGACTGCTCAACCACCTCAAAGGAAAAGACGGGCTCAGACTTCAAGCTCACCGAGCAAGCAGACAATGTCAACGTTGCCTCCCTCTCCAAGATCTACACCGCGGCCGGCAAGAAGGTATCGGTCGCCGACGTCTTCAACGATGGCAATCACCAGATGACCACCGATTCCTCCGGGCGCAAGCTGTGGCAGCATACTTCAGACTTCAACGATGAGGACACAACCAAGTGGGTGCCACAAGGTATCACCTCGACGGCCGATGCGCTTGTACGAAGGTATCAATGGCTGGATCGTGAGCTGGCACCGCGATGATGATAAAAGCGTCCGAGTTACGTTTGTGAATCGAGCCGATGATACCTACCGCCATGCACTGCTCGTATACCCGCATGCATCCGACAACTTCAGAGAGGTGCCGGTACATGCAGGTGGTATCATGTGGTATGGAAACACTTTGTGGGTCTTGGACACTTACAATGGTATCAGAGTCTTTGACTTGACCAACATCTGGCAAGTTGGAGATGGCGAAGACGTTGGCAAGGTCTCCAGCGGTGTCTACTCGGCTGCTGGCTACAAATATGTGATTCCTCAAATTAGGTCAGTCGTGTCTTATCCTCTCTTCTTGCTCCCGCACTAACCTTTCCACTCTTATCCTACAGATGGTACAAGTGGTCTTCCTCCTTCGAGTTCCGGCACTCCTACATGGCCCTGGATCGCACCATCACCCCCGACAGTCTCATCGTCGGCGAGTATCAAACCTCAACCTCGGACCCCATCCGTCTGGTCCGGTACGAGCTCGACTACACCACCCGCCGCCTCAAGACCGACAGCAGCGGCGTCTCCAAGGCCATCTGGGCCTACTGCGTCAACATTGAGCGCATGCAGGGCGCCGTGTCGGCGAACGGCAAGTTCTACCTCTCGCGAAGCAAAGGAGCGTCCAAGGGCGATCTCTGGGCCTGGGTTCCCGGCGGCGTGGCGAAGCAGAATGCGGGCTTCTACCCCAGGAGCCCCGAGGATCTGAGCTATGACAAGAGGAATGGCGGGCGTCTGTATACCGTGACGGAGGCGGAGGGCGTGAGGTATATCATCAGCTCGGCTGTTAGCAGTGTCAGCTTCTAGTTGAGTTCGCGGGAGTCCGAGGACAGTCGGACTGGGTCGGATAAGGAGTTAAGGGACAGGGATCGGCCGCCCTGTGAGGCACAGCTTAAGGTGGGTGTGGGGGATCGGTTGGCGGTTGCGTCTAAGAGAGCGAGTCAGAATGCTTTGTCACTTACATAGGTGACGTAGATGGCGCTCTTCAAACGCAAAAAAAAAACGGTTAGTTATCCAAGCGATGCACTGCACTCCAGGGTGGGAAATAAACCAAGTAAGTCAAATCTGACCCCAGATTTGGACTTGATTTGAGGGTAAATTTGCAGATTTGTTTGAAAAGTGGGGAAATCGGGCTTGGATTTGCAGATTTGAGTCTTTAAATCTACGGATTATCTAATTGTTCCGGGCACCGGCCCCTATAACTCTTATACTTTACATACTCTACAAATTGAAATTATCGTTTTCGACGTTTAATTCACGTAGTGAGGGACTATTTCTCTCGTATTTATATATAAATATATCATTATAGAGGCCAGTCCTCTACTAATTCTTTAAATACTAAAGTATATTAATAATATTATAATTGAAATTAATACAATTCTTTACTATATATTTGGCAGTATTAAAAGGTCGTTCGTACTCGTTTAATTCCATTAGTATAAAAAAGATATTAAATATTATACGTAATAGAGTTGTATACTCTTTTTTATAATCGTTCTATTATTATAAAATATCAGTAATACCCTTTTTTAGGAAATTATTAATCTATTGCGTAATTTTAATATTTTATTTTGGAGGAGAAGGGGTAGGAGCGGGCTTAGTATAATAACTATTACTAATTAATTAATTAAATTTAAGAAGAGGGCGAACTTTAAAAAGAAGTAGCGGTACTTACAGTTAGGGGGGAGGGCTCTAAATATAACCGTTTAATTAAAATTATTAAAAGCGTACAATAATATTATTTCGTTATTTTTTAAGGAAATTAAAATTAAATTAGCGAATACGATACTTAAAGTATAAAATTATAGTAAATTAATAAACGGGCGTATCCTCTATTATTTTCCTATATTTTTTAAATTTAGCGATAGCGTAATCGATATTAATATTAATTAAAATAGTATTATTATTAATAAAGGGAAGTAATAGCTCTCCCTCCTTCTCTTCCTTTTAAAAGCGTATAGAAATTTCAATTTTTTTTTTAGAAAAGGGGTAAGAATAATTAATACCGCAACTTATTAATTACATCATTATATTCCGCTAAATAATTTAATTCTATTATTTTAAAACTTTTATAGTAATTATATAATACATTAGGGTCGTTAAAATCATTAGGTAGGATAAGAAGTAGGAGGAGTTACTATTAGTGTTAGGTAGATAGGGGTAATATTTAATTTAATAAATTATTTAAAAGCGAGCGTAATTAAATATTACATTCGCTTACTTTTAAGATGGTTAATTAATTAATATAATAATAATAATACTTTACTAATAAAGGGAATTCTCGTTTCGAAAATTTTATTAAAAAATATAAAATCTTTTAAAATATTTATTATTTAAATAAACGTTACTTAATTATCCTTATCAAATTAATTTTCTATTAATATTTTCTTTATTATATTTCAATAATTATATATTTTTAATGAGTACGTATTAATAGTATTACGTAATTTAATCCCTCTTTTAATTATTGCGTAGTTAAAGTTCTACTTCGTTACATTATTAAGGATAATAGTCGCTATCGGTTTGAAAATTTCCCTTATAGTTAAAAAGGTATATTTAATTATAATTATTAATTTCGGTCCAATACCCTATTTACGCGCCCCTTTTTTATTTGCTTTTAATTTTATTTTAATAATACGAACGAATTTTTTATAATATTAAGGAAATTAGCGGATAAAATAGTAAATATTATAAAGTTTCTTTAAGGAGTTTTATTTTTACTATTTGGCTAATAAAACTTCTTTTTTTTAAATAGTAAATTCTATAAATTTCAGTAAGTATTACGGTATGTTTTTATTATTATTTCGAATTACAACCTTTATTATTAAATTAAAGACGTAATTAAAGTAACGTACGCATTGGTTTTTAATTTTACATTTATATTTATTATTAAGAAAATTAATTAACCCCTTAAATATATAATTCATATAAATCTTGTTAATTTATATATTATTTAATTGAAATTAATTAAAGTTTTTTATAAATAATTTAATTAAATTAAAATAAATTAATATAATTAATATAACGTTCTCGCTATTATAGCTACTTATTATATAGTAGAAATTGAATAATTAATATTCTAACTTCTATTCTTTACCGATATAATAAATAATAAGACCGAAAAAAGTGTATTAGTTAATCGAAGTTTAAAGATCGAAAAAGAAATACGTTTTATATAGGAAGCGGGCGAATTTTTATTTTAATATATTAAAATAAATATTATACTATTCCTTAACCTATACTCTTATTATATATTTATTAGGGTAATAATTTAATCGTTAATTACTTATTTATTAATAGTATTAAATTACGGAACTCCGGAAACGAAGTTATACAAAAGGGTATATTAGCGTTAATAATTTAGTCAAGGAATAATCTTTTAAACTTTTTAGTAACTAATTTTAAAATAGATTATTTAATAGTATTTTCGACGAATTTATTAGCTACCGATTTTGAACGTTTTAAATTAGAATTTTCGGCGGTTAACGGCGAATATTTTTTATATAGCTGACGTAAATATTTATTAGGGGAGGTAGTAACGAAATTTATATTCGATCAATATATAATTGTTAAGTATAAAAGGGATTATATATTATTAAACGTAATAAAATAATATTTATAATATTAGACGGTATTAAATTTATTATCCTTAAAGATTTTAATAAAGTAATAATTATAGAGGATGATTTACGAGTTCCTTGCCTTCTTAATATATATTTATTTCTCTAATATATAGTAATTCCCGTTCGAACGTACGGTAGGGAGGTTATTAATACTATAAGGAAGGATTTTAATATCGATAGCGAAAAATTTTAATATTTATTCCTTAAAGGAATTTTTACGAGTAGTACGGAGGGTATTAAAAGTAGAAGTAATAGCGGGCTTTATAAGGCTATTAATAAATACGTTCTTTTATAGGGATTAGGAATTAAAGGGAATATTAATTATAATTATAATATAGCGTATTAATAAAGGTACGTGCTTTATAGAATTGTATATAATTAATTTGGTTACTAATTATATAAAGTACTAAAAAGCGATTTAAAATCAATTCGTTAATTTTTAGGTATGAAAATTCTATACGGAAAATTATAGGGCAAACCCCCGATTTATAGTTGGCTCCTAGAGCCTAATCAAGCCCTGTTAATAGATTTGAACCTTCAAAAACTGGATTTGCACGTATAAAATGACTAGATTTGAAGAATTTTTACCAATCAGGAAGATTTGCTTGCAAAATCAAGTCCGGGGACCCTAGATTTGGGTTTGTAAGCCAAATCTCGACCTTGGTTTAACCCCGTCTGGAGGCGGGTTTATTCAGACTTGGTTTGACCAGATTTGGTTTATTTCCTACCCTGCTGCACTCAACCGAACCAGCCACTCAGACACAAGTGGCGCGCCTATCATAGACGTCCAGGTACTAATTGCCCAAAGAAACAAAGGAATTTTCCTCGCTCTTTGGCAGAGGGCTGAACTTGAAGCGAGCCAACAAGACCGACAATGTTGCCCAATGTGCAGATGGAGTAAGCACTAAACTGGCCGTACCTGCCCCGTCGTACAGGCAGGTACTTTCGATGAGGCGCCTGACGGATTGATAAAGCTCGCTCTTTCCCAACATCGTTTGTGTGTCGACTGACACTCTGCAACTGTCTGATGAGGTGGCAAGTGGGATCCATTACTCCTTCATACCAATGGCACTGTTAGCCCACTTTCTTCCCGAGCCCTCGAGTTGGACAGGCATTGGTCTGCTCTCTCTCGGGTTCGTTGCTATCCTCTACGTGGTCGAGAAAGTCTTCTTTGCGCAACCTCTTCCTAAGGGCGTCCCTTTCATCCGAGAGCCGCCGGGGGCTACTCGCTTCAGTCTCAAGACACGATGGGCTTATATCACAGACTGCGTCAATCTCCACAAGGAGGCTTATGAGAAGGTAAGCTTAGATCTGGATCCTATCCATGCACCCTGCCCTTACTTGAAGCATCCCTCAAGAGTTTGGTGGCTGACTCCTGATAGTACTTGGATAAAGGCCAGGCCGTCGTCATTCCTGGAGTTGGCTTTCTCAATGAGCTCATCCTGCCTCCGAGCTCCTACAAATGGATCAATACATATGACGATGACCGCTTGAGCGCTTCCCATGCGTTTGCCCAATATGACCAGATTGCCCACTCGCTGGGCAATGACATATTTCTCGTCGATCCATGGCAGGGGACGGTTGTCAAGAATGAACTCATTCCCTCGTTGGACAACCTCATGGACGCTCTGAACGACGAAGTGGGCGTTGCCTTCGATACGTACCTAGGTACCGCTCCTGGAGAATGGGTTGAAGTGAACATTTTCGATGTCATCAAAAGGGTCATTGCTCAGGCAAACAGCCGCTTTACCATTGGTCTTCCTTTGTGTAGGTTATCCCCATGACTCTCACACAAAATTCCCTCATCATTTGGTCTTTCGTGCCACTAACAACGCATCTTCCCCCAGGTCGTAGCCCAGAGTACCTGCAAACCTCCCTGGACATAAACGAGCAGTTCGTTACCACCGCCGGCACCGGTCTCGCATCCCCGGGAGTCCTCCGACCCTTCACCACACGGCTTGCCGCCATCGGCCTCCGGTTGAACCTTCGGAAACTCGGGAAGCTCCTCCACCCCATCTACGTCCAACGTCTCGAGTACCTCAAGCGTCCGCGCACCGACGCCGACCCAAACGAGCCACGCGATCACTTCCAGATCATGCTCCGCTACGCCCAACGCGAGCGGCCGCACGAGCTCGGCGACTTTAAGAACATCACCACGCGTCTCGCCGTCGCCAACTTCGGGTCGATGCACCAGTCCGCCTTCATGATCACCAACATGATCCTGAACATCCTCAGCTCCGACAAGGAGTTCGACACGGTTTCGGTGCTCCGCGACGAGCTCGAGCGCGTGGCCCACTCGGACGGGAACCCGAACACGTGGACCAAGGCCAAACTGGCCAAGATTGTCCGCGGCGACAGCGTGCAGCGCGAGACGATGCGGCTGCACACTTTCGGTGGGCGCGTCCTGTTCCGCAAGGCGTTGACGGATGGCATCGTCACGGATACCGGGCTGGAATTACCGAAAGGGTGCACGTTCTCGGTACTGAGCTACGCGGCGCAGACCAGCGAGAGCAAGTACGAGCAGTCCAAGAAGTTTGATCCGTTCCGGTTCTCGAGGATCAGAGAACAGCAGGTGGGTAAGGAAGGGGGGCCGCCGCTTACGTTTGTGTCGACGAGTCTGGATTATTTGCCGTTTAGCAATGGCAAGCATGCCTGCCCGGGACGGTTCTTGATTGACTTTGAGATCAAGATGGCCATGGCTTACTTGTTTGGGAATTACGATGTTGAGCTGCCGCCGGAGTATAAGGGGGAGAGACCGCCTACTGTTTGGTTGACGGAGGCGCAGTTTCCGCCGAGGGAGGCGAGGATGAGGGTGAGGAGGAGGGAGAAGGTTTGAGTCTGCAACTTTGATGTGGTCTGAGACAACATCTTGGATAGGAGGACAGTATCTAGAGATAGATTTTTAACAAGAAGAAGGGAGAAATATAAAGGGAAGCAGTAGCCGCACCAACCCCAAATCTACGCGCAACCTGTCTCATCGACAACATACCAAGTTCCACCCACGCGTAGCAAATGCCATGTAAGGGAACCTATCCCGAGCTTATTTTTGCCGTATTTTTCTCCTTTTATCCAATTGCAATTGCGGGCATTTTGGAGTCAACCGTCAGCGTCATTTGTCAATGTTAGTAGGTACGTTGCAGAACTTCGGCGGTGCGAATGTTTCTAGGCAAGACATGGAACAAATACTAGGTAACTGTGCCAAATATTAGGAAAATCTTGGGCGATGGTAAAAAGTTATGGGCAAGTGTCTTGCAAAAAGGACGGGAGGGTGCGTGTAGATCTGGGGTGGGTGGGTGAGTGCAGCTTTCTCCAGTGTTTTAAAAAAGAAACCTGAGGAAAACACGCGGACGTACTTGCTTCAGTTAACTGCTAATGGGAGGGAACAGAACCTTAATGCCTTCTTCCAAGCCTTTGAATGGGTTAAAGGTCTAGTAGCTAGGTCTTGCGTGTCCTTGCTTGTTTAAGTTAATTATTCTTCCAGCTTTCTTTCTTTCTTCAGTAATCCAAAGACCCACAGTTCTTTTATTGAGAACTCGGGAATAGTACTATCCGTTCGAGAACATGTGATGGACAATGGACAGTAAAAAGACTCGTTTTACCACAAGGAGAGGTTCAAAGACCAAGTAAGCCATCGATGGATCGAGGCACGCCTTAGTACTAACAAAGCGGATTGTTAATATATCATGGACAAAGGACACTTCTTACTGACCTTTGCAATACGGCTTGAAGATGGGACTGATGTTCTTGTTCATCCACTACTAGCCTGCTTGCTACCTTGTCCCAAATCCAGATAGATGACCGGAACAAAAGGGAAGTTCGGGAAGCCGAGGAGAGACGGACGGCATTGAAAGAATGAAATATCTCTGTTCATGTACATGTACCCGGGGACTTCCGAGTTCGTGCCTTCATAGGTTGGTTGTATGTAATACACTAATAATTGAATACCGCTCGCTGTGTATAATAAGTCTGGAAACCTCTCTCTCACTTCCCGTTTCATCATACACACACTATACATCATCATCATCACCACCACATTTTAAATCCCGTGTACATCAAACAACTGCACTCACCTTTCTGTACCTATCGGATCGGATTCATAACATCAGACATTGCTCCTTTCCCCACCCACTCAAGAACAAAAAAAAAAAACACCATCCAACATGTGTACCTTCGGATTCTCCCGCATGGAGTGCGGCTGCAAAGTCCCCATCGACGGTACCGGCACGCAGTGTGAATACGCAAAGCTCAGGGGCCAGTATGCGTTCTGCGAGGAGTTTCTGCTGGCGGAGAACCGGGCCAAGTCAACGACTTCGCCTTATCTTTGTGTTAAACACTTCTGAGGGCCTCAGCGGTCAGAGTCTCTGGTAGACTTTGAGGTGTAAGAGAGAGAGCGTTGAACGCTTCGTGGTTCATATCTCTACATAGGAGTCGAATACTACATACCTTAATATTAACCCTATGTTGTTCTTTGCTCATGGATGTGTGTTCAGGAAAGTCCCTCTTTCATCGTCATCTTTTCCTTACCTTGCCATTGAGATCATGTTATCGCGGGTCATCCCTCCTTACGCACATCCCTCAACTCAACCTCCCCATACATCCCCTGCCTTAGCCTAACCTTCATCCCCATCGCCGCTTCATTCCTCAGCCCCACCCTTTCCGCCTGACAAATCTTCGCTCTGCTCTCCTGGTCAAGTCCATGTGCTATTGCCGCCAAAGCGTCCTCTTTCCATGGTTCCACACAATTCCTCCGCGTTTGCCATATGGTAAGCCCAAGATAGAGCGCGCTCGCCACCATGACTGCAACGGGAACGGTGACGAACGGCCAGCGGATGCGGAAACGGAACACCCATTTTGTCGTAGAGCTCTCCGTTACCCATACCCCTTCGTTCTCGCGGATCCAGGCTGTCATGCTCCAGGCGACGTTGTCGAAAGTGGTGCTGAGGTTAGTGGATTTGGCGATGGCTCCGGCTACGGGGTTGCCGTTACCGGTATCGGCTGTGACTGGATACATGAGTGGCTCGGGGGCAAGGACGTGGGTGAACCAGTCGATCGTGGAGGCTATGGTTACTTGGGTAATGTTGAAGTAGGAGAGGTGGTTGGAGACCGCAGTAGCACGTGAAGCCAGGAGTAAATCAGATCGCGGAAAATCCCACAGCATTCCATTTGGCTTTCGGCCGACTGGACTGCCTAGTGTGTAGCTGAAAGGATGCATCCAGTTTTCTCTTTGTTTTTTTGCCGTAATGTTGCCTCCCAAAGTGTCGTCTTGAGGTAACAACGACGGGTGTGACCACTCGGCCCACGAGTCAAGAATGGATTCATGGAGTATGCCCTTACTGACCATCGACTCGTATCTGTTGACGCAGAAGGATAATCCGCACTCCATGGCGAGTGGGAACGTCGTATTCCAAGGCGAGAGGTTGTTGACAAATTCCGGGGTAGACTGAATGATTCTGAAAACAACAAAGGTGGAAGTGAAGTAGTCAAAGGATATCGACTCGGACCGGTTGGCTATGACTTTGACTACGGTTTGGTTTGGTGATGAGCTCGCAACGGCCGATGGTTGATCCGTATCTCCATATAGCTGCCTGTGTATTAGACTCTATAGGAACAATTGGGTATGCATTTTCCGGCTGCTTTGCGCCGTCCCAGTTGAGAATTTCCAAGTCGTATGGTAGTGCGTATCGTGTATATGTGGTCCCTTCCTTGGGCACTTGCTGCCTTCGAATATGATCTGACACATTGACGCAACGGCTGCAAACTGCCAATGAGTCGAAAATCTGGAAGGTGCAGTTACCGGTCTCGCAAGAGAAGGATGACTGGTAAGGGTCTGTCAAGGCCGAGGACTTGTTAACGAATCCATCATAGACGGCAAGCGTTAAGCCAAAGTCCGCTGTCAGTGCACTTTCTTGCAAGACCACCGTGCCGGGTCCCATCGAGCCATTTTTGTTTGTCAAAGTAATCTGGGTTCCTGTTGTCTGCTCTTCGCCTACGCAGATCCTGTTTGATGCCCGGATCTTGGCTCTTGAGCTTCCTGTGAGTAAAAAGTCATCCCCAGAGGTGTCGACTATGGCTTGGACGAAGGGGTCGTATCCGAACATGACAACCGTTACTAGAGCGCCGAGACAGGCGAGATGTCTATTAGATAAGTTTGTTAGCTGCTGAAGAACAAGTGAATGGACTGGACGGCACTACGATCCCCTCGAATAACACAAACTTACCGGTACTTGAGCTTCCAGAGCAACTGTAAACTTCCCAGAGGCCCTCGACTCGCCTCATCAAAGGTTCTGAAGACCAGAACATCATCTTCTCTTTGGGAAAACCAATTCCACTTTGCCTGCCCAAGACAGGGCGTAATGGCAAAGGCAAGGGAGGTGCGAGAAATCTGTGCCAGGGTCGATATGATTGTGCTCAGTGAAAGGTAGAGGGGCCACGATTCCAAAGGTTTGCCGTCAAAGAAGTAGAGGATGCCCAGTGTTAACACCAGGGAGAGACAGCTGAGTGTCATTGCTGCTAGCTCCCAGAACCAGGAGGACCCCCACCGTTGCCATGGGCTGTACTGGGACAGTCGCGTGTTGCTTTGAAGAATTCTCCGAGGGATGACTTTTTGCGGTATGATGCAGTCCTGGTGCGCTTCATGTTGGCCAAGTGGAAGATGGTCCTGTATGGGGGATTGTGGTGACAGCGGAGTAGAGTCGGATGGTTCGTGTTCCTGGTTGATATTGTTTCCGGGAATCATCCGTCCTTGAAAAGGCGACTGACGAATTCTGGCAGGTCTTGGTGGGTCGGTTATCCAGATCTTGCTGTTCCCTCAACCCAGGGCCATGGACGTTCAAGGAGCAGATGTTTGCCACGATTTGTTACATATTGCCATCTATACTACCAACTCATAATCAGATATTCTTTACGTCTACTATTATACAGGGAATTAGTGTGCTATGCTCATTCTGTCTTCATCCTTTTAGCTGCCCTCTGCTCGCGCCTCTTCCTATTGCGTTCGTCCTTCTCTTCAGCAGTTTCAGCAGCCCCCTTCTCAGCCCACTTCTCACGAGCCCTCCGCTTACGTTCGTCCTTCTCTTCAGCAGTTTCAGCAGCCCTCTTCTTAGCCATCCTCTTACGAGCCTTCCGGTTGATTTCGTCCCTGTTCTTCTCTTCGTACTTTCTCTGCTTCTCATTGTACTGTCTCTGCTTCTCCTTGTACTTCTCGGGGTCTTCCATCTTCCTCTTCTCCTTGTCTGCCTTCTGCTATTGGCGGTTATACTGTCTCTGCTTCTCCTTGTACTTCTCGGGGTCTTCCATCTTCCTCTTTTCCCTGTCTGCCTTCTGCCATTGGCGGTTATACTCCCGCTTTCGTTGACGTGCGGCTTCTTCTACCTCCTCTTGAGATAGGCCTGTAGTGAACGATGTGGAGTAACGTATGCCTTCCCTCCAGGCTTCGTAATTACATAAACCCTTATAAAGTACCGACGACTATTGGTTATTCGTTAAAGTGCTATAGATGGTTTCTTTATCCTTATATGCGTATAGTTTATATATTAACGCAGTTTCGAGAACTAAGAATAATATACCAGTAGATAGGATTGAAGGAGTTATTGAAGAGTATAGTATTAATATTAGAATTTTCTTATATATAATTCGATAGCCCTTTTAGTAGGCGAGTATCGTTAGTATAGAAAGTTGTTCACCGTTGTTATAGTTTTCGAACCTCTCGTATATGCCTTTAGTCTTATTAGTTCCGCTATTAATATAAATTAATAGTAGATTACTATTACTATTATCCTTATTCTTACTATCTTTTTCCTTGCCATCCTTATCCTTGTTATTGTTATTAATTTAATGCTTTTCCTTTTTAAGGATTAGGAGGTAGATGGAAAAAGCGTGTTCGTCTTCGTAAGTGAATTCTGTTAACGATTTTAAAGTCGCTAAGGTGGGAGGGGTTGGGGATTCGAGGATTGTTTAGAGGGTTTGGTCGAAATTCTACTTTAATTCGAAGTATATTTCCTAGAGAATTTGTATAGTAGAAAGGTAGTCTTTAAATTGGAGCAGGCAATTACTAGCATATTCTAAATATATTTATAAAATTTTATTAATAAAATATACCCCGAACGTTAAATTTAGTAGCGTTTAGTCGTTTTCGTCCTCGCTCCATTCTTCTCCTTAGTCATCCTCAACGTTACTTCTTACTACTATAATAGTTGCCTTTGCCCTAGTCGTTACTATCGCATCGGTTAATAGATTGGTAGGGACCCCCGGACAACTATTGAGAGAAGAGGAACCAAATCAGAGAGAACATCCAATAGCAGTAGCAGCAGAGTTTTCCATCCTTCCTAAGGAAGGAACATTAGTGTTCGTTCCTTCCCAAGGAAGGGATACCTCATCATGGTGGGTTCATGGTTGGCTCCTTCCCAGAACGGGCGTCACTACACTTTCAACTTTCAACTGGATGACTTGGTCGACCGATTCCCACGTGTCTGGGAAGGCAGCATGCCCCGAGTCTGAATAAAAATATTGGCGCCGTCGTCCGTAACAAGCTGGTAGCGCGTGTCGACGTTGACCGTGCTTTCGGCACCGCTGGTGCTGGTGCTGGAGAGGGCCCAGTCGGCTCCGAGGTTGAGGATCTTGCCTTTATGAAGGGGGGTTGGTTTAGTTATGTGGGCGTGGAGTGAAGTGAATTGAAGTGAAGTGAAGTGAAGCAGGACAGTAGTCTAGAGCTAACCTACCCTTCAACTTAGGACCCTGAAAAGTCCCCCCAACAATAGGAATCACAATCCTCGTGCCGCGCGGACCGGTGCCAACGGGGATCTGTGTGCCGAGGGTGCAGTTAAGGGAGTATAAGAAGCTGAGGCCGGGAGGAGCGGGAGGAACGGCGGCGACGGCGGCGACGGCGCCGGTGGGTTGGCCGTACGAGCCCTGGATGGCCGCCAGCCCGATAAAGGTGGAAAGAGCAAAGGCAAGCTTGGAGAAGAACATATTGACTGGTTTGACTAGAGTAATGAGCAGAAGGGTGTCAAGTAAGTGCTGGATCAACGACACTTTAGTTGTGGCTAGGATGGAGAAAGAGGACATCGCGATGCCTTTATACCTACCTACTTCTACCTCTTCCCCCCACTTGCGTTGCTATCCTTTACTGCGTCCTTCATCTTCACCTTGTAACAGACTACCTACTTAGGCAACCATCGCACCATTAGTTCCCATTTCCCCGGACGAGATCCAACCATGACGCGATCGCGGTTCTTCTGGGATCATAAATCGTAGGGCTAAAATCACATGCCGTTAGTCTTTCCCGGTTGCGGAGGTTGCGGGGATCGTGCCGTTTTTGCAACATTCGGTGATGCTTTCTTGCGAAAGATATGTTGGAAGAAAACAGTTAGAGCAGTTAGGGAGAGGTGTTCCCAAGCGCACCACTCATATTGGATGCCGCGGATATTAAAGGCCGAGTTCCTGCAGGGCTTGGCTGGTGATAGGCGAAGGAGCGGGTTACTCAAGTAGAAACAACAGGATCGCTAAACGCGAATCCATGGTAACCGCATTACTTTCCTATACTACTTAGTATCGGAGCATAATCCGTACATACTTGGGATCTTGCAGCGGGACATCGAAATTCGAACCTGTCAAGTTCAGAACATCAAGACGCTAATCGATACGATAATACCAACAGCGTTCTTCTAACCACAATAAGCACGGAAGCTGACCAGCTACTGATCCTTCATCTTTGGTTGTGTGTGGGGGGAGGATACAATATTGATCTGAAAACCAGCGAAAAGGGATTCATTCCCCCCGAACCCCTACTTACTCAAGCGGCAATGGTACTGCCTCGTTCAGTATCTTCAACTCATGCCCCCAAGCCATGGGCTTACTCACCGTCTCCCTTTGACGGGCCTTCGCCATGACCTGGCGAGCCAGCAAGATCGATTTGTTGCCTTCGCTCACCAACGTCCGCTGATACTCATCCATCTTGTGCCGTAGCATGTGGATCGACTGATGTTTGTTTTCGGAAAGAAGCTTGGATAGCCCGACTGCGTCCCTGATGGCGTAAATTGCGCCTTCTCCGCGACCTGTCGACGAAACTGGGTTAGCTCTCTCGCTGGTTCGAACTTCGTACTTGAACAATACAATGTTGATGAAACATGTTTAGTGTGAAAGTTGAGCAAAAACTTACTCGGTGTCATCGGATGGGCGGCATCCCCGATCAAAATGACCCTGTTGACCGGAGGGATGTCCTCTATAAGAGCATCGTACCATGTCTGGAAACACTGTTGTCAGTCCTGCCTGCCTCATCGTAAAATGGTCCATCATCACATTCGACATACCGTCACCTTCTTCAGACCTTCCACCTCTGTTTTTTCCACCGTGACCCTGAACTTCGGGTCTAACGCCTGGACCCTCTCCTTCGTCTTCCGCAGCCTCTCTTCCGCCGTGCCCGTCTTGACCCAGTGATTATCACCCACGTCTTGACTTTCTATCGTCATCCAGTAGTAGTCTCCGTAGGATCCATCATCGCTGACGCGGTTCAGAGCGCTGAAGAGAACAAAGTCCGGTCCAAAGGCGACATAACACGAATAAGCCATCTGGAGCTGACTCTCCATTTCGGCACGGTTCAGACGACACTCGCCCATTGTGAAAGTGGAATAGGTCGAGATCTCCAAGACCTCCGAGTTCGGTTTCTGGAGGACGTGTGGGCGTACTGTTGGTCAGGCAAGATGATTGTCAGCCACTGTCCACACATCCGTTTTATCGTCATCATCATCATGTAAACAATGGAAAGATGGTCACAAACCTGCACTGAAAGTTCCATCAGCGCCAACGAGGACAGTGCCCTTCGCCTTTGTCCCATCCTCAAACCATACCGTCACCCTATCCTCACCCTCTTCGATCCTCTGCGCCCGTTTTCCCCACTGGATGTCGAGGTCGCGAGCTAAAGCCTGACGCAGACGTAACCTGTGGGCTCTGATGCAAGGCGTCTCTGGGCTATCTGTCACGTACCCTGCCCGCCCATCTGGAAAGAACATGGCTAAGCACGATGGCAGCTGTAGAGGAAGGAGGTGGCATGATGATCGGAGAGATGAGAAGACTTCATCAGGGAGAGAGCCACCAAAGAGCTTTTCCGGACTGCCCGTACCGTATGTCAGTGTCCAGAAAGCATAACCACTGGAAGTAGTGAATGGGGTGAGTAGTTACTCGTGAAGCCCAACGGCGTATCCTTGGCCTCTCGCCTCAGCGCTGGCGTCACGCTCAAAGATCTGGAAGCTAATGCCTTGCTTGCGAAGACCTTGGGCAAGTGTCAAGCCACCAAGGCCGGCACCTATGATCAAGACGTGCAGCTCGCTATTTTCTTGGGCGATAGCCATGGTGTTAGGAACTGTTTGTGCTACAAAGACGGTGAGAACCCCGGATTAAGAGACTGATGCTGAGCGTGATAAGAATAAGTGTCAGGCCCGGTGCTTTCTATGGGATCTCCGACCTCATATCCATCTCAGGCTTCCCGGATACCCCTCCTTCGAATCCACCGGCGATCCATACCGCGATGGTTGGCTTGCTGCAGTAGTATCAACATCGCCGTGTAACCGAGTGTACATGTATATGAATTGCCCCTCACCGGCGACTCCCTTTTGCTTGGCCGAAAGCTAGTCCGAGAACCTTGACGATGCCCACTGTGTTTGAAACTGCAGGCCCGTGCACCTCCGCTGATGATGTGCAGCGCTAGGGCATTTTAGGGCAGGTGCTACCCGGACTGGACCTGTGGGATTTTCCCGACTCTCCGACAAACCACGAACGACAACATCAGCAACACCATATAATAAATAAGAAGGTGACCATCAAGGTCTCTCTCGCAAAGCCCAACTCCTCGAACTCCTCTGCTCTTTCCATAAAAGGGGAACACCACAACTGAACAAAGACCACCCATCGACCGGCCAAAGGAGGACTTAAAGGCTGCCAGTCAGCAAGGAAGCGGGTAAGGCACCACCCTCTCCATCGTCCTAACCGACCGTTTCGCATACGCCAGATGTTTCTCCCCCGACACTACCGCCCACCAACCATTCTGCAACGGACTGCTCTCCCTCGCCAGCCTCAGCTGCTCATCGAGCACATCGACCGCCTTTGGGTCTCCCTGCTGCCTCAACGCCTCACCCTTGGCCCTCAAGTAGCACAGCCGCATCCGCCAATCGGCCGCGCCCGACAGGCTATCGAGCGTGCTCTCAAAGATCTTGAGGTTCTCCAGCGCGGACGTGATGTCGTTCATGCCCAGCTCGCAATGAATGACCCTGACCAGCGAGTCCAGCCTGCCGTACGTGTCTTCCGGGTGAGCCTTCTCCTCCAGCTCGGCGGCCGCGACCATGTACCTTTTCGCCGAAGCCAGGTCGCCCTGGGCGTAGAGGGCCGAGTACAGTCCGCGCGCCGCCGCGAGCGTCTGCGGGTGGTCCGCGCCCAGGCGGTCGGCCAGCCCGTTGACGGCCCAGCGGAGGCTGGTGGCCACCAGGTCCGACAGCACCTCGGGGCTGCGTAGCAGGGAGTCGCACACGGCGTAGAGCGGGTGCGACTGCCCGTGGAGCTGGCCGACCTCGTGCCGAATGTAGGTGAGGAGGTAGCGCAGGGCCAGGGCCTTGCCGTCCTGCCAGAAGCGACAGCAGACTTGGAAGATACAAGTAAGCAGCAGCGGGTTCGGGTCGGGCGTGAGGATGGGCCGGATCTGGTCTAGCGTGTCGTTGTAGAGCGTCACGATGCTGTCGCGCTTGTCGTTCCACTGGGGTAGGGAGAGCTGGGCGGACACGGAAAGGGCGAGTTCGTAGAAGCGCCGCAGGTTCCAGTGCGGTGGCTGCTGGACTACGTCCGACTCGTCTACCTGCGAGTGCACGAAGCGGACGTAAAAGTCCCGCGTGCCGGTTACCACCGTCTGAACCGAGAGGAGGTGTCCTGGTGGTGTAAGTGGGTGTAAGTCGGTGAGTTTGCGCTTGCGGCGCCAGTTGTCGGGATGACTGCTCTCGGGCAAGTCCTCTTCCGTCTTCCCAATTGGTGGTTTCCGCCGCTGTTGCTGTCGCAGGAGGAGTATTTCGGGAGGTAAGTTTGGTCGTGATTTGATTGGTTTGACACTCGTAGGGCTGACCAGCTCGGTATTGGGTGGTGATATCAGCGCTGCTGGGGGTGTCGCGATATGGACGGGCGTGTCGATAGGTGTCCCGACAGACTGGTTTGGCACAACGGGGGGATCCCGGTGGATCGCCACGAGTTCGGCTGCAGCCGTAACTGGGTCCCGGGGGATTACCTCGGGCGGCTGTGGGGGGTCCAGACCGGGCCGAGTTGGTGAGTTTGGACGACTGCTCACAGGCGTGTAGCACTCGATTTCATCCGGCATATTGGACAGCTCAATATCTTGGGAGCAAGCTTTTTGATGGCCATGGTGCTTGCGATGCCAGTATCGGTCGAGCTCAGTTTGTGATATCTCTCTGCCCCTGACGCGGAAGGCTGACTTTTTGCCCTGAGCAGCTCTCTGAGCGGCCTTGGCCGACATGAATCTCATGTCACTCTCCTAGGAAACGAAGCGTCGCGTGAGCAAACCTGGGCCATGATTAGCCGTACCAGCCGGAACTTGTCTTACCTTGTTGTTCTTCTCGAGGCCCCATTGCTGGAGTCTGATCTTGTACTGGTGTATGCTACAACGATAACCGCAAGTCAGACTACGCCAGTCATTGCAAACCGTGGTTCCGGTGTGTATAGGATCTCCACTCACGTCGCGCGAAATCCATGTTTCTGGATCATGATCTCCCTCACATCTCGGAGCTTTCTCTTCTCGGACAAGTACAGATGTGTGATGGTTTTCTTCCACACCTCCCACTCCTCCTTGGAGTGGATGGCTCCCGAGCTAGTAATCATGGCGCAGGCCGGATCCGGTAACCGACGTGCCAGGTCTGGTGAACTTGAAGCAGGCCAAGACATGAATCAGTAGTCGAAGGGCACCAATCTCTGGGTTGAAACAAAAGTTGTCTGCTTCCCGCGTGCTTCCGGAAGGTCGGAGGCGTGCAATAGTCGAGTGCTTTGTAAGAGATTTGAAGGCTCCTTCGAGACGTCTTGGAAATGCCACTTGCTTGATTCGGAATGGGCCCAGGGCGGTACAGATGGAAGATGAGTGGACCGGCATTTAAGGGTTCGTCAAGCTTTCTCTGGGCGGCCTGTTGCTGAATCCATAGGTGACGAAAAGGGCTGGCCGTGGTATGTCGACGATACAGAGAACAAGAAGACTGATTGAGGCGGGGTTTGAGGACTCGGGGCGACTTATGTCTGATGCAGACCACTTTTGTCTATCCAATAATACGGGGTAGCGTTGCTCCGTTCGCTAAAGTTTTCCCTAAAAGTCCATGTGCGGCACAGTCCTATACCGGGGGGGATGATGTATTGATCACCAAGGTAACCGCTCTGTCGATAGGAGTCGTCGAGCCGTTGGTCCTTCGTTGGGGGTAGACCTATTTGGGGGCCAACCCCCACGGCTGCCTTGCCTAGGAAGAGTAGTGTAGGCTACCGTAAATGTACCCGGTCTCGGGCGAGAAGAAGCAAGAATCTGTGATGAGATTGGACCGTTGGTTTGCGGAATATGGTTGAAGAAAGATTAGCGAGTCATCGGCGGTCCACAGTCTAGCGCCGACCGAGCAGTGGAAGCCATCACAGGTTGACATGATCACTGCCGGCAGACCGAGTACGACATTTTCATCCAGGGCAGGTTATCTTTGTGGTTGGTTTGTCCGCGATAGGAGCAGAAGCAGTCGGCTTCTCACGGTCTTTTCAAAGAGCGGAAAAGCGGAATTCCTCAGTGTGAATCTCCCGGCTTGACTTTTCTCGAGAAGCCTTCAAGCCTCGTCGGGGTCAAGTCCGCCGGTGCATCGATCAGCGGTTAGCAATTGACCTTGGATTGGTATCGAAAACCGCCGATAACGGCGACGTGGGATTGACTGGACGGCCATCATCACCAACAGTCGGAATCAACTTTGAAGGCTCTCGAATGCAACTGAGAGAACGAGACAAGATGACATTGCACATTGGATGGGAATTGACCAATGCAAGCAACGGTCAAGTGGGAAAGGAACAAGGTACAGTCCAATACTGGTTTGTTTGTTAGCTCGAGACCTCCGCTGTGCGTTGAAAACACGGTGTCAGTCCCTACTTTTGAATTGAGCCGCCAAATACACACATATCGTAAATCCGTCGATACGTAACAACAGTAAAATCTTCAAACGACTATATTATTACCAATCTTAAAGGTATTTACAATCCGATTACTACTCTATATTTGTATAGATCCTCCTAATTAATTAAGGCTAATACTAAAAGGTCCTAATCAATAGCCCAATCTATACCGTATACAATTTGTATTAAATACCGCCGCGCCCGCTCCCGACTTAATTATACTTCCTAAGCACTCCCTTCTTAACAATAGGGATAAACCCTAACAATCGAAGCGGTTTTCAATACCTAGTACCCGTATAGTTCGTATAAACGCCGGTTTAAAAAATAGAAATAGAAATAATAAAAAGACTCTTATTCGAACGGCGCGTACTATAAATAATATAACTACTATAGAATTAACTTAACCCGCCAAACCTAATCTACGTATTATTATTCAAAATAATAATTCTATATTAAATAATAATAATATTTCGAAACTAAGGAAGGCTAATATTATTAGTAAGCAATATACAATTTCTATTATAGTTCCCGCCGCTTTTTCAAATAGTTTACAAATTATATTTAGATTTTTAATTTCTTCCCTATCGACCGCTTCCTTTTTAACTTCTTCGACCGCTCCTCCTCCAACTTTAATTCCCTCAACCTTTCGAATTCCCTCAACCTTTTGAATTCCCTCGACCTCTCGAATTTCCGCCATTATTTCGTCCTTTCGAACTCCCACCCCCCTTTAAAATTATAATTAAACTCCTAAATTACTACATTATCGAACTAAAAAATAATAACCTCTCCGCTACAAAACTCTAATTAATAATAAAAATAGAGACCGTTTATTACTGATTGTAAATAATAGCCGTAAATTATACAAAAAATATATATATTCGCCGTAGAAATTATAAAACGAAATTAAATTTAACGAACGAACTAATATTATACTTTCTATTCCTCTATTTCGTCGGTAATTAGCCTAAAAATCCCGCACCGTAGTAATATTTCAAAAATTACCCCCCAATTTCCGATTTTCTATATATTTTATTTATATATAATAAATTATAAATAGTAAATACCTATTTTAATAATTTCTTTATATAGCCCGGCAAATTACCTACTTTCGTTTCGACCGACTATATTCGAATTGAGAAAGATAATAGCAGTAATATCGATATAAAGGACTACAGTAATTTTAATATCGAATTCGTAATTAAAGTACAGAAAGTAAAGGGCAACTTTGTAAAAGTAGCCCGCAGCGAATATAACCTCTTCAGTATAAACCCTAATATTATTATATAATATATAAATTAATGAATTAATATATAAGAGAAGAATAAGAAAGGTATTACGCTCTATTAAAATTATATTATTTTTAAAAAGATTAATTGCGAAAATTTAACTACACCATTTAAATATTATAATATTTCGAAGGTAATACTTAATTTTCTCCAATAACCCGTTAAACAATATTTTATAATAATTACCGCTTATATCCGTATTATTAGAAGATTCCTACGGCTAAATATTACCTCTATCTTTAATACGCCCACCCTATTTCGAATTACTTCTTTTATAAAGTAATTAATTAGTTACAATATTCCTAATTCTAATTATAGTCCTAATCTATCAACTCCTATTACTAGCTATCTATACTTATTACCGCGCCCGCCGCTACGCCCGTTAATACTTCTAAATAGTCTAAAACAATTAACTTTAATCGAAAGTTAATAATTAACTCGATACTATACAAACTCAAAAACCGTCGCGAAACTAAACGCGAAGCCCAAAAAGAGGGTAGAGAATCGTCTAATTTATTATACAATAAACTAATTAAGACGTAGGGATATAAAATTGGGCGCGAATATAAGAATTACTATAAGGGGCAAAAATATTATTAATACTATGTTAGATTTAATTAGAAATATTATTTCCCTTTAATAGTAAAGGATCTTATTAATTAAATTAGCGCTATTATTAATAAGTAGACTACTATTAACCAACATCCCGCTAATATAATTTCGCAGTAATTTAGTTCGTTTTAATAGTAGTCAGTTCTTTAAGCTGGCGCGCTAATATTTAGACAATCTAATTACTAATAATTTTAACCGTTTATACTATATACTATCCCGGGTACGAAACGCGGCGGTAGTGGAGGAAACTACGTACCGCTGCCTTAAGTCTTCAATTTTAACCTCTAGAATAATTATTAAATTAATAGCAATACGTATAGAATTAACGGTAATAATAATAGAGTTGGAATATTATTTACCTTACTTTCAATACCTCCCTTCAACGATTATAGGGGTATAAATATAAGGACAATAGGTATAGAATTGGCGGTTGAACCTACTTTACCTACTTGACCTATTTTATTTACTTTACCTAGCGTTAACACCTCTCGCACTAATATATTTCGTACTAGTACTTTTCGCGCTAATAATAATAACAATCCTCAACCTTCCTCCCCTCTACCCTCATTACTATTAGACCGACCGTTTAACTCCCTCGTTACTGACTTTATAAAGTAATTTATCTTTAAATACGCGCCCAAATTTAGTAAGAATAACGTACTAAGGAACGCGCTCTATAATATTTAAAAATCCCTCATAATTAAGCGACTATCCTTCTACTAAATATACAATTTCCCTATAAAGTAGTATTTCGATTATAAAATCGACGAAGGTATTTATATTATAATTAAGAAAGCAATTAAAGAATATTTCTACTTCGAACGAAATTATATATAATAATCATCTTTATTACCGCTCTGGGGAATTTTAATACCCTTACTATAAACCGTTAACCCTAGCGCATTATTATAGCTATAAAAAGTATCTATACTTTAATAGTTACGTACGTCGCTAATTATTATATTAACTAGATACTTTCCTCCTAAATTCGCTATAGTAAAATATTTAAAATTGCTACGCCCCTCCAAACTTCAATAACGACCGTATTTATAATAGCTTCATCTACAACGAAGAGAATAATTTAAATAATAATCCGTATAATAATAAGGACCCTAACGTAACCGTTAACGAACTAGATAATAATGATAATAATAACGAAATTCAATAAATATACGAAGGGGATTATATAAATTAAAGAAGGGATTATATATACGAAGGATTATTATATGAATAAATACTATACTAGTAAATTATATTGATTTTAAAGGATTTCTAGTATTTCTAGTACTTTGGGGGTCTTTATCATTATTATTACTATTATTATAAATTTACGCCATTTTCTTACTTTTTCGTCTTATATTATTCGATTAGGTATTTAATTATATTCGATTCTAACTATATTTAATTCAGTATATTTACTATATAATTTAATATTTTATACTACCGTCCTTATTAATTTCAATTCGTATAATTAATCCCTATACAACGTAACGTAATTCTTTAATTCGCTAGCCTTATTAAGTTCGTTAGAAGGCATATACATTTAATAGTAGTACCTTCGTATAGTATAAACCTCTTACCCTACTACCTACGCTACCCCCTTAAAAAAATTCTTGAATTCGCCCTCTTTTAATTAGTTATTACTAGCCTACTAGTATTACCGCCTTATATATACCTTCACATTACTAAAGTAGGCCTCTATGGGGTTAAAATCTAGGAAATATAGCGGTAAGAACCAAAATAATATACTTCTATTATTATACGCGTTTTTAATAGAGGGGTATTTATACTACAATA